TGGCCGAAGGGAGCCGAGCGTCTGCTCCCTCGAGCGGCTCGAACTTCAAAGTTTTGCAACGTCTCCTATTCACTGGCAATAAGCTCATTACATGGTGGTAACATAGTAACAGAACAGACGTTTAGTGCCTGTCATCATTACTTTAATCCCCATCCTACGGCGCAGGCCCAGTAGTACATTCCTAACCATATATTGTATTTGGGTTACTTACACAGAGAGCTTGAGCGAGCCAAACCAGCGCGGAGGAGAAAGTCACATGATTATTCGGCCATCTCCCGCATCACTTCTTGAGCTATTCCTGGCGCGAACGAAAGCGCGAACGATTGCTCGAGCGAACGGCCGAATTGTAGAATTGAGCACGCCTTATAGTGCTGCTCAATTCTTATTTCGTTCGTCCGTTCGTCCGTTCGTCTGAGCGCGTCCAAAAGAGTGAGGAAGCAATGATGGCCGGCGATCCGGGACCACGGTCATGTGATGTGCTCACCGGTCGCGGCAAGGCATCGAGAATTTCCGTGGCTAGTTATGTGGACGAAATCCGTCGACGTAGATCACATGCCACATTATTCTCCTCATAGCAATTCTGAGATGTATGGACCGGGTGCCCAGGCTGAGTATTGACCCAATTGGGGCTCTTATCATGCTTGTGCATATATCTCGAAAAAGCCTCAGGAAATAAATGTGCCGGCCACCAACGGAGAACACATCACATGACCGTGGTCCCGAATCGCCGGCCATCATTGCTTCCTCACTCTTTTGGACGCGCTCAATCGAACGAACAGACGAACGGACGAACGAAATAAGAATTGAGCAGCACTTATAACGTCTGGTGCACTTCGATCGTGAGCTATTACTTCCGTCATAGGTCACACCTGGTCACGGTCCCGCTTTTTGTCACGCTGTGACAGGAAGTAATAGCTCTCGGTCGAAGTGCACCAGACGTTATAGAGAGGATCTCGTACAAGATTTTGGAACTTCGAACGGAGAGATCCGATCCTCTCTATAACGTCTGGGGACGAGACTAGGACTCCGAAGCGAAGCGTGACATCGGCCTGCTTAGGAGCGCTTCGCGCAGTGGCCACTTTCCACCTGCTCCTCATCAATACACGGTCTGGGAAAGGGTCTCTGTTCATTCTATTCTACAGGACGGTAAGGGTAGCGTACTAGTAGGTCTATACCGCATCTGTCTTGCGCCACTGACCGATGTGCCGATCATATCTAAGCTTCGTCCCTGACGTGTCCTGGGCGTAACGTGTGCCGGACGCCCCTACAACTTGAACGTACTTCAAGTTGCCTGAGAGTATCTTACACTTCCCGCTTGGAGAGGCTCAATCTTTCTATAACCCTCGTGCAAGTGGGAGGCTTCCATTCGATGAACGTGCACCGTTGAACCGATTATCTACCTGGTACAAGGTCAGGTACAATCGACGCCCCGGAAGCACCCTAGAGGCTTTCTTTAGTGGTCGTGTGACTGGGATGTCCACCAAAAGATCCGCGGTGCGAGCGAGCAAACCGTCACCAAGGCTATTCCTCGTACGCAGAGATCGATGGGTCACTAAACAACAACCTGTGCACCCTGCCGAACATGTTTTAACCGGCTCTCATCAGGCCCATGTACGGTCATAATAAATCACATTACGCAGTCTGGATGTTCAAACGTATCAAGGAGGCGGCCTGCACGTACCGAGTAGCTCTTGATGATCATGGTAGATCCGTCGCGGAACTCCAAATAGTCCGAAGGCTTTCTGGCCCGCCTATGGCCTATAGTCTATGTAAGCTTCATGCATCACCTACCCACAGCTCTAGTTGTATAACTGGCAACTAAGGGGTGCCTTCTAACTGCTTCACCCCCACGGGCCACCGGTCTGAACTATGACCGAAGAAGACTTCCCTACGCTGCGAGTACCTCCTCTTTTGATACCTACATGCCAGCCTAATATACATAATACGCGGCTAGCAGGCTACATGACTACCTCACTCTTATGGCTGCAGGTATGAAGTCTACCTTTATTGAACTATTCTCCTTTGACACCATGTAGCCGTGCTTTATTATGATCATATCTTGACGTCGGGCGACGAGATTTCGTATATCTGGAGGAGGCCTTGGACGCTTGGCAAGATATCCTTCATACTCAATCGGTACTTCGGTGCAATATCCAATGCCCTCGTAATTTATGAGTCTTTTGCCAATTTTCCGTCCCGGGTATGTTGTACTCCTGCTTACACAGCGGAGCTTCTCAAGATACAGCTCTTAGATGTGAGGAATGGAAGTCAATCCCGTGTCATTCACTGACGCTGCACCCGGATAGATGCACCGCGTTCGAATGGGAGTACGAGATCGCCCTCTTGATAAGCCAGATATTCATTGGAGGTATGGGCAAAGTCGTTCATCCATCTTCGCTGTCAGTCAATACTCACCTGGTTACTAGTGCTCATGGTAGTACGGGTCTACGTGATATATAACCGCAGTCGATGCATATTGGCCACTCTCATTGTAGCTGGCATTCTGGCGATTTCGGGAGCAATAGTGAGTACTCCTAACAGTATGATAATGTAGTCTTGGCTGAGTGTAGTCCTTTCGGTCAGGGCTTCACCCTCCAGGGAAGGACGATGGTGGATACCGACGTGCCTGGTTGTCATGTAATTTATCCTGGTCATTCGTATGCTGATTCAATCATAATTTGTCACCCAAGCTGATCAAGATCAAGGGAATTCTGTAAGTATAAAGCAGTGCGCACAACCTCCTAGTGCTCAACGAGGTCATAGATCTTGCGGCAGCATGGGAAGCTTGCTTCGCGTTCGACTCCCTAATCTTCACGCTGACTGTGATCCGGACTTGGAAGATGCGGCCGCCGCAAGTTGAAGGATTGAAGCACTGGTGGGGGATAGGAATGCTCTTTCTGCGTGATGGTGAGCGAAATTCCTGGAGCGCGAGTCATCTCATAGTCCCACTTTACGTAGGTGCGCTGTACTATGGGTAAGTTTTCTTCTCACGGCATTTCTTTTATAAACATATGTATCAATGGCTCATCCCAGATGTATGGTCCTGGCAAACGCGGCAAATATTCTGACGTATTACGTGAGCTCGTCTACTATGCATTTGTGTAGTTCCTCGCGAGTCCTCATGCCGTTTTCACACCATCCAGTTTGGACAAGTAGGTTCCTACCATGCATGCTAGATTCTGAGCTTACGCTTCGTCCTGTTCAGCCGCTCCTGAAGGGCGCGCTCTCAATCTTCGCCAATACGTGTGTGGCATCCATAGATATTTTTCTCCGTCATAGTCCCGTTTACTGTTGCCCATATTTCAGGATCTCTGTCACAATGATGTCAAGGCTCATTCTCAATCTTTACCGTTACGTGGAGTCTCGGAGCTACCTTGGAACACAGGATATTCCTCTGACTAATTTGAGCTCGTCGGGTCGTACCATTAGCGGGCCGGGAAGTCAGGGTAACTATTATGCTGCGCCCATCAGTTAATCACCAGGCTCATCTAATCGTATAGACGCGAACATGAATCCGATATAAACTACGGGCACAAAGACAATTTCGATGTAATTCCGGGGTTGGAGGTATTAGATTTATTTGTACGATATATACACATCGACAAGGATGACCTATACGATGCTCCCGTGGTCGATGCCCTTCAAACACGCAGCCTGACGAAGAGTGGGAACTACAGTGAAGCTCATGCCCATGCCGGCGAATATCGTAGCGAAGCCCCGTGGGAGAATGGAATCACGAATCTGCACGCGTGCTCTTGCACTGTTGCAGCTTCACTGTTTCTCATTGCTGCTGCAGTCCCGACTGAGTCTGTGAAACGTCATGCGTTAGGCTTGTCATCTATGTCCTTGGGCTTCTGCTATACGCCTGGCTTGCACAGTGTACACCGTCTGACCTCAAGCCTCCCTCGGGATGCCTCCCGCAGATCTGCGCGCTGTCTTGTTCTTTCACCATATCTCGAACAGGGCAAAAATACGTTCTCTGCATCAATTGACGGTGGAGCATAGCCTGAGAGGATACCTGAAGCTTGGCAAACCCGCTGTGCTCGTTTGTCAAGGAGAGGAAAGCGACGTAGATGAATATCTCAAAAAGGTCAAGGTGTGGATCTTCAGTGCTCAGTGCCTCCCTATCAATGATTGATCCGTCATTGTCTTCATCGATTCTAAGAGTATGCGATGGCAACAGGCCCGAGTAGAAGTCAAGGATCATGTCGCTTCAGATGCAGCAGCCCATATTCCGGCGAATCTGAGGGGTTTGGAAGAAGTAGCAACCCTGAGCGAGCTTACCCAAAGACTGCGATTGTTAGGCTCCGACTGGGAAAGATGGTTTAAGAGAGGAATGGGTTTTGGTCCAAGATGATTAGCGACAAACCCACTCTGGCTTCCGTGGACGGCACCGTTTACATCGGTACCACGCTGCCTCGAACAGGTCAATCGCCTACATAGCAATCTTACTTCTTTAGAGAGTGATGCTCATCTGGTTCACGTACGACCTATATCTGCACATGTATACAGCGAGCCAGGAGGGCTGTTGATTGAATTAACCTCGGATCAGTTGAATGGCAGCGAATTGTTCAAAAGTATCAATGCCGCCTCATTTAGGTATTCACTCTCATTGCCATATATCGAGCCTTTGCCTACATAGCGGGGGCCATTGCTGTTAGCCGGTGGACGCGACCGCCCAGTTCATTTGAAAAGACGCGATAGATGACGTACATAGTCGGAAGTCACAGACCGCCCTAATCGCCACTGACACCCGACCGTCTCAGACGCAGCCGAGTCGCAGCATTCTGGCTGTCCATGTCAACACCGTCGACGCGTCCCGCTGAAGAGTACACCACCTCCTGAGTAAGCAACCGTCCGTAGTGGTTGAGTTGCGCGTCATGGATGCACAAAGCGATCGAAGACGCGCTCGGCTAACATTCGACGCGTCCCGGATAGCCGTAGTCCACACCTATTTGGCCCTCACGACCTTTCTAACGGCACTCTTACTGGGTTGTCTGCTTCACTATAAGAAGATAGTCAAGAATGGTGTGGCTGGATATCCTGAGGAGTGGTTTCCATCTGTATCGGCTACGTGAGCAAGACGTTCATCCACCACTATTCCTGCAGTTCAATCCATAATATCTTACGCGCAGTATCGGAGATTGGTACCCTGAAAGAAATATCTTCCAGATCATGATAGCCATGAACTCTGGTGAGTGTGGTTATCCTCGTGGCATAACAAAACAGGCTTGAACTTGGATGCTATAGGACCCCGCTTCGCCCTTGTATTCTTGCAGTACTATCTGACACGTTCTGCACAATCATCCCTACCAACTGTTGTATTTGTTTCCGGTATCATCCGAACGCTATCGTGTGGTGGTTGGGTGTACATTACCTCGACTGACGACCATGACGCGCATGACGTGCTCATGATCACTTACATTGTATGCAACTTACCGTGGATGTTCGGAGGTATAGCATGTACTCCTGTCGCGAACAGCGAAGCTAGGAAGAAGAGGTACGCTGCAAATATCCTCCTGCCGCAGATTACCCTAATCGATACTCTGGTTAGGCAACGTTTTGCCGCCGCGTGCGTGAACAGTTACGCATCCTCGGGTCTTTAGCTCTATGTTAAACCTCAACACAGATTCTTCTTGTCCATGATCCCAATGATATACTTCTTCATTCAACATAAGGTAAATCGAGTACCAGGAGGTGAGTCTTCATCGCATCACGTAATAGGCGATTGGATCTGAAGAACTCTTGCGCAGCTTATACCCGATATAGCTTCTTCGAATGGGGACTTATTATTTTGGATATTCTCTACGACTCCGTTGCCGAATTAGACTTCAAAGCTGCCAACTTACAGGCAAGTGGACATTTGGAGACGATAGCTCCCTCTGGCTAACATCTTAGGTTCGTCGATAGATTGCATTTGTCTCACTCTTGGACAGCGAAGGAGGAAGTGATAAAATGTACAGCCGCATGCATAGACTTGCATGAGTATTTTGACAACGAGTGATACAGATCTGGTTCCAAAACAGAATCTCAGATCGTGTCAGATACCCAAGTATCATCAGCGAATCCTAAAGCTGACGAGAAGTCTACTGCACCTGATGCTGCGTCAACAGTGATAGAAGACAAGAGACTACGGCTCGCACTCCCTACGGAGTGGCGACTGGTGGCTGCCTTCCTGTCAGATGTCTATCTTTGTAAGCAACCGACATCATATCCTGCAATAACCGTGCAACTTAGCCCCAAAATCATAGCATATTTGTTCTGGTCCATATACACATCCCTTGCACCCACGCTATTTTACTTCTCTGTCTGGGAACTGAGCATTGCAGGTCATGAAATTGCTTTGATCTCGGTACTTGCTACTGGCCTCCTTGGAATATCCCCGTTCCGTGCCTGGGCACGGACTCACGATGGAAAGATGGTGCTCCATTCTCTGTCGCTTGTTGGCCTACTCGCATATGCTCTACCTAGTCCCTTTTCACGATTATTCGCCGTCGCCTTTGCGAACATGGCTCTTAGCATCAGGCAGGCAGTTGACTGGGCCGATGGCCACCGTTCGTGGTATAATGGAATTCGTGAGAGAGTTCGTGCTATCTTGTTGATATCTCTTCTAAGTGCTATTCCAGTTACTGGCATCGGACTCATCCTGTCATCCTTTTCGAAGCATGCCAATCATTCCAACAACCCAGGTAATGTCATCGCCATCTCCAACCTATATTTGGCTCTGCTAATTTTTCGACAGTCTGGCCATTCGTCGACGCTGCATCCGGTGGTTATAACAAGACCGGTATACTGCTGGCTCTCCTCGCATTGTATGAACTATATACCAGGTCCGATAACAACAGGAATGCTGGAGCCACAGCGACGGTTCCCAGAGCTGCTATCTCGTCTTCGAAGACATGGCTGCCCCAGTCAATAGCCCTCGGCGGCCTTCTGTTCACCGTTCATCAGCTGCTGGCGGAATCCAGTACGTTGATCGCCTGGTCTTGGACAGGATACCCTATCAAAGGACCCATCCCGAACGTGCATGGCTGTCTCACCCTTCTAGCACAATCTCTGGGACTTTTGCTACCTGTGCTACTCTCCTCCTCCTCTTCTTCTGCTGAGGCTGCTGCCCTTCTAACCCATCCTCTGTGGTTCTTATATGGCGCTGGCAGCGCATACGTGGTGTACAGCTGTAAGGACTGGTTTGGGTATATCGGAGGGTTGAACCTCGCAATATTCCTCATGTCTGTCTTCCCCCATGTTATAAGCAGCGCGGCCTCGACTGGCAAAGTGGGGCGCACGTACTTCACGGCTTGGCTCGTTGTCTGTCTCTTGGACCTCGCCAACGTATGGACTGTTGCCTATGCGTTTGTCCCAGGTGGCGTCTATTTGAGGGAGCGCACGGATTTGTAAGGGATCCGTTTCTGATTGCCGCCATCGGATGTTCTGACTATGTATGTAGGGTTCTCATCGCGCAAATGGCTGCTATTGCTTTTGCTTTCAGCTGGCCCAGGAGAAGCACGCTCGACATTTCCCCCTCGCTTCCTGGATCGTCAGCTCTCTGTATTCGCAGCTTCCTAGCTCTCGCATCTGTGGCATCTCTTCTCGTCACCGTGTATCGCTATCCTACGTCAAGCCCAGCTCCTCATAGGCCTGGTCCCCGTATCGTCCGGGCCGGAATATGGACTGTACATTTTGGTATTGACAATGAAGGCCGGGACAGCCAAAGGCGGATGAGAGATCTCATAAGGCGTGTCTCCTGTACTTTTTTGCTGATCGCGAAGACACTGACTGCGCTATTATATAGAGATATGGAGCTTGACGTTGTGGGACTCCTTGAGACTGATCTACATGTAAGTCGATGACCACATGTTGGCATAGTGCGCCCTGATATTCTGTAGCGCATCGTCTTTGGTAATCGCGATCTGTAAGTCGGTACAGAGTCCAAACAGGAGTGATGACGCTGACGAGCATATAGAACGCGAGTCATCACGGAAGACCTGGGCTATGTGAGTCCTCGCCTCGCGGTGCTTGCGCGGTAGGGCTTACATGTGGTAAAAGTATGTAGACATAGGCCCTGGTCCCAACCAACATACCTGGGGGGCCGTGCTACTGTCCAAGGTGGGTTAACTATCCGTCCCGATGATTTGGTGGCGTCATGGCGATCTCCAATGCAGTTCCCAATCATCAATTCCACGCATCATCTGCTGCCATCGCCTCACGGTGAACTAGCCCCGGCAATTGAAGCCGTACTAGATATGCACGGGACTCCTGTGACGGTTGTAGTGGCGCATAATGGACAAGGTTCGAATACAGACTTCACTCGCTCGTTGCTTGCCTAATCCTCTTCCATGCAGAGGAGGACCCACTGGATCGGGAACTACAGAGTCAGGAGCTCGCCCGAATAATGGCCAAAACGTACCCGCAGCCAGTGATCTTCCTTGGATACGTCGTGACTCATCCTCATGCCCAACGTCGTGAGTAAATGCCGCATGCGTGCCACCATCACCTCACTCATTGCTCATTGCAGCGAATCCGTATGAGATCCTCGTATCGGACGGCAGGGTGCACGATATCGATAGTCTTGACTCGGACCGCTGGTACGTTCTTCCATACATTATCTGTTCTTGCTTTTCACAAGCCCTCTCCCCCAGGTGCGAATATATATTCTATAGAGGCCTCTATCGTACCGCGTACGCCCGAGTATCACGTAGCACTATTACGGACACCGAGCTGCAGATCGGGCAATTTGTCGTTCCGAAATACGGGCATGGAGTCACAGACGATAGTGAGATTGCAAGGTACCTTCGATCGTGGAAGGAAGATCTCCCAGAGGATCACGTAAGTTATGCTCGCCTAATCAGGATCCTGTTCACTAACAACATCTAGTGGTTCCCTATGGAATACTATGGGAATGAGAGGGAAGGCGGTGTAAGGTATGTGGAATTCAACCCAAGTGCGGGCAGCCTGTTGATCGAGTCAATCAGGGGGCATTTCTACCATGTATTCAATACGGTACGTTTTTTCTTCCGAGTCGAGTCTTAGAACCCTTTCTGACGCTGTTGCTGCAAGCCTCTGTATTACAAAATTCCTGTAGGAGCCGTTGTATGAGAGGGAACAGATGTCGTGCTCGCTGTGCATGTATCATCCTTTTCTTTCCTTTCGTCCTGTTACTGTTTGTACGACACCTGCAGAATTACTAGTATTCATTCACTATGCGACCCGGGTGGTCAGTCAGTCTTACTGCCGATCTATAAGAAACGCCGTGGAGCCAATGGCATCCTCCACAACACCTCGCTTAGTCAGAAGCTGAATGTTAAGGTTAGGTTTAATGTGGCCCTAGTCCCGGTCCGCGTAATTACCTGTATACTCTCCCCACTGATACCCTGGATCACCCCCCGGAGCTTCGTCTCCACTGTCCTGGCCATGTCTGGTCTTAATCTGAATGCTATCACCGAAAATGCCTCCCGACTGGGTATGCGCTTGCAGGAGACGTTCTCCGAGCACACTCGCGATCTCGCCATTGCGAAATCCCCGGGCCTTTCTTACTTTGACAGTACCGAGGATAAACTGAAGAACATACGGAAACAACTAGAGTCAAACAGTGACAGGGAGAAGCTAGACGCCATGAAGAGGTTGGTTGCCGTGCGTACGTTCGCTGCGGAGCGCTCGCGATTTACGGCAATGACTGGTATGGCGTTCTAGATGATATCCAAGGGCCGCCCAGTGCCAGAGTACTTCCCTTCTGTTGTGAAGAATGTGTCCACGCAGAACCTTGAAATCCGCAAGCTGGTGTACATCTACCTCCTGCGGTATTCCTCCCAAGAGCCCGACCTTGCTCTGCTCTCAATCAACACCTTCCAGAAGGACCTGACAGATCCCAACCCTCTTATAAGAGCTATGGCTCTCCGCGTGCTTAGTGGCATCAAGGTGGGCATGATTGGGGGCATAGTTGTCATGGGCATCCGGAAGTGCGCAAGCGATGTGAGCCCATATGTACGGAAGGCAGCGGCGTTCGCGGTACCGAAGTGCTACAGGTATGTTGTATTGCCATTATTGACGGACCGCCGTTTATAAATGGTCATAGCCTCGACGCTTCCCACCTCCCCTCACTAATCCAAGTCCTTACTACCCTCCTGCGTGACCGTTCCCCACTATCGCTGGGTGCTACAGCTGTAGCGTTCCAAGCTGTCTGCCCAACACGGCTGGACCTCCTTCATCCTCATTACAGGAGACTATGTCGCACTCTAGTAGATATGGACGAATGGGGTCAGGTGGAGATGACAAACTTGCTCATCCGGTGCGGCACCTCTTGATCTCTGCTCTTGACAAAGTAATCCTGACCTCGTTTCATCAGTTATGCTCGAAGCATGCTGGCTCGACCCACAATCATGAAGACCCTCGACAAGAGCGGAAATGAGACGGGAGAGGAGTCAGTCGATGTCGATCCAGACCTCCAGCTTCTCATCGCTTGTTCAGAGCCGCTGCTTCATTCGCGCAACCCTGCTGTATGCGATTTATCCTGGCCACGCGTGTCGTTACCTAACCGTGTCACAGGTGGTACTCGCAGTAACGCGAGTGTTCTACTATCTCTCCCCATCCCCGTCGTCCTCCTCCCTTTCCACGATAGTTCAGCCGCTGTTACGCCTGCTAACGGTTTCCAAGGAGGTCGAGCGGGTGGTCCTGGTCTATATCCTCGTCATCGCGCGTCGCGCCCCCGTACGTCGCAGCTTATCCACCCAGGGAGCCTATATTGAAGCATTGTTCGACAGAGGCTTTTCTCTGCCTATTATCCGCGGTTTCTTGTCCGTTCTGACGATATCGCCCAGGCGAAAGAGCTAAAGGCCAAAGTCCTACTCACCATCCTGAATCATGAGAACCACCAGGCCCTTCTGCGCGAGTTTATCGTGAGCTCTTGCTCCATGTACTGCGTCCCACCGGTCGCTGAGCGTGGCTATAGGATTATGCGAACGACACGGACGATACGCTTGTCGGTCATTCAATACGGGCTATAGGGAGGGTGGCAAGGTTGGAGCCGGACTGCACGCAGCAATGTCTAACTGCGCTCCTGAACTTCATCCGCTCTAAACACGGTACGCGCCCTGACTACTCTCTATTTGCACCAACTCACGCACCCCACCAGACGTCCAAGTGTCCACAGCTGTCCTGGTCCTCAAATCTCTCGTGCAATCGCAGTCACAATCCAAATTCCCCGCGTTCACCATCGGTACTGCGTCGAATTCCATCATTAGCACGTTAGCATACCGGATAGACGATATCAAGCATCCACAGGCCCGTGCGTGTGTGATCTGGCTAGTGGGCCAGTATGCTGCGGACGATAGTCAGAAGGGGGAGGGAGATGGGCTGGAGGGGATCGCGCGGTGGGCGCCGGACGTGTTGAGGAAGGCAGTGAAGGGATTCGTGGGCGAGGTGAGCAGTAGTCTAGGTCGCTAGTCTGGCGCTGATCGCGCGGCTGGATTCTCGTAGTCGCCGTTGGTGAAGCTGCAGACGCTGACGCTGGCGAGCAAGCTGCTCGTGCTGTGCCCCGCACACGCGACGTTGAAGATGCTCGCGCAGTACGTGTTCTCGCTGGCGAGGTACGATATGAACTTCGATGTGCGGGACCGCGCGAGGATGCTCTCGGCGCTCCTGGGAGGGGTGGTGCCGGGTTTGATGAAGGGTGCTGGTGAGTCGCAGGGTTCAGTTGGTGTACTTACAGGTCTGGTGCTAAGGAATGGGGTAGGTGAAGAGGGAGATGTTATGGAGGATAGAGGAGGGGTCGTGTTGAGGAGGGAGCAAGTCAGGCTTGTCCTGTTCGAGGGGAAGGAGGTCGGGCAAGAAGGTGATTTCGCCGGGGGTGCGTATCCTCCATGCACTATTCTCCAACCGAGCTCACATTCTCTACTAAAGTCGATGACTCGACACCCATCGGGACGCTCTCGGCCATCACGAACAGATCCTCGCTGTCCGACACGCTCCTCCCTGACTGGCTCGAGCAGGGCACGGAGCCGTCCCTGCGGGACACGGAGGACGACATGCCGCAGGCGCCGGCGGTGCCGCACATCTCGAGCAGTGCTGCGAGGAGCGTGGCGGCGTCGCCGGTGGTGCTGACGCCGACGGGGGGTGCGTCGCCGGCTGGGTCGATGCCGAAGACGGGGGGCGGGAGGTTTGTGGATTTGGATGACTTGGAGAAGTTTTATGCGGAAGACGAGGAGGAGGAAGATGATGACGGAGATGAGAACGAGGAGGAGGAGGATAACGAAGAGGAGAGCGGGGAGGAAGAAGAAGAGAATGGGGAGGAAGTGGGGCAAGCGGAAGAGCCCGGAGAAAGCGCAGAAGAGGGAGCGGAGGATGATGAAGAAGAAGAAGGGAGCGAAACTGAAAGCGAGGATGGAGCAGGCGAGAGGTCAAGACTGTTTACGGCGGGGCTGGAGGATTCGGGACAGGCTCACTGGTAGTTGTCGATCTACCGACATTTGATTACCATTTATGGCAGTGCCATTGCCAAATACGGGTGATGGTGGCTTCACGCGAATTCAGGCCGCGACCCTTTGCAGCAGCTCTGATGGTTTCGGTAGGGGCTGCATCTACTCTCTGCGTCGCGGTTCTCGCGGAAAACTGTCGCGCAGACTACGGGCGAAGTTCATGCCAATGGTCTCGGTATTTACATACTGTGGGTTCGCGGGCTCTCCAAAAGTCAGACCATTCGAATAATTGAACGAGCCGATTTTGCATAGTCCGATGTTATGCGTGGACTGTGGATGTGGTATCCAGGCGACCATATGCTCGTCATTCTGTGATCACAGGAAGCGTTTAGGCCTGGACGATGATGCAAATAGACTTTCTGAACGACTGTATTGCAAGTTGCTGCCGCTTGGACAGGTAACAAGCTCATGTATGACCCGGCCTACGCAGATGTGGCCTGATGTCTGTCCTTGACTGTGCCCGGACGCGTAAGCGCCGCCGGTACTTCCGGTCATTTCTCACGTTGCCGTATCAAGAAATCCACGACCTCTGATTGGCTGGATCTGAGATTGTGAGTCAAGGCAGCACAGCATCCAGGATGCATTCTGTCCGAGCCGTGCATGAGACTGCATGCGGAGCTTTTGCGGTGGCGACAATTCAGTCCATACGTGGCTGCTCGCCGGCAGCGTGCGTAATGCGTTGCTGCGACATCCCAGCCGAAGTCCCTTTTATTCACCGGCTTACTCCCGCTGGCTCTGACTCACCCGTCGGTTTCTTGTTCGCTGGAGCCATCCGTCGGAGCTCTTTGGCGCAGAAACAAGAGCTGTTATAACTCTTGTCCGTCGGCGTTGATTTGCATCTTTAATCATGCATAATCCATGGCACCCGCCACCGAAGCCGCCTGCGTTCGGAGGCCAGACGGTATGCCCAGAAGAACGTGCCCCGTAAGTGACGTCCAATGCTTCCGCCTCGCCATGCCCTTCTTGGCGATCGCTCACTCCTTCTTGGCGCAGCCTGCTATCCAAGCTCACGTTCGAGTGGTTGACCCCCTTGCTTTCCGTTGGATTCACAAGGCCGCTGCAGAAGGAGGGTGCGTATTCACGACTGCGTGGTCCGTCGCGTTTGGATATGAAACATTCTTGCGGAATGTAGATTTATGGCAGTTGCCCGATGATAAACTCACCGCCAACTTGTCCAAGGAGCTGGAAGTCAACTTCTATGCCCGATGTGCTCCCGAGAAACGTCCCCCACACATCCGGCCTGCAAAATCTACCACTGATGCAAATGACACCGGGTTGGCAAAGGAGACGTCCCTAACCGACCCTGAGAAGGATGTGGAGAAGGGGGAGGTAAAGGAAGGCGAAGAGGAATCCCGGGATAAAAAGGCGACAGGCAAACGCGGTGCGAAAGGGAAGGGAAAGGAGAAGAAATACGACCAGAGCCTCCTCAAAGCCCTCAACACGACGTTCTTCTGGCGCTTTTGGAGCGGCGGTATCCTCAAGCTCTTCTCCGGTGCGTCCCCAGATCACGCGCCGATCTCGTTTGCCTCATTACTCACATCTCCCCACCACAGATACCCTCAACACGACCACCCCCCTCGTCACGAAGCTCCTGCTCGCGTACCTCGCCGATGCGTACGCCGCATACCACATTCCTCCCGCCGAACGCGCGGCATACGGGCTGGACCATGTCCGCGGGATCGGGTACGGCATGGGGCTCGCCGTCGCGATTTTTGTCATGCAGGAAGCGAGCAGTTTGGTAAGGAGTACTCGGATATTGACTTCACCATCGCGAGCCATAGTAACCCCGTTGGCTTTGCCAGATGTCGAACCACTACTATATACGCACGATGACTACTGGTGTCCTCGTCCGGACAGCGGTAAGTGATTATATGCGCCTATTTAACATTCCGAGAACTGAGCGGACCCCTATTGTTCTCACAGACTATTGGCCTGATTTTCCGCAAGTCTCTGCGCCTTTCCGGCCGCGCACGCACGCAGCACAGCGTCGGGCAGATCACCACCATGATCAGCACTGACACGACGCGGCTCGACCGCGTCGGGAGCATGGCACATGTGTAAGCGTACTTTCGTTTTGTACCGAGCCGTAGGTGTTAACGCTGTTGGTAGACTCTGGACGTCTCCTATACAGGTATAATTCAACTGGCTCTCATTGAGACACGTCTGAATAATGCCCGTCAATTTAGCTCGCCATAGGGATCGGCTTGTTAATTGGCACGGTGAGTGATACCTCATTCGAGCTAGCACTGGTATTAACGTCTTCTGTCCCATTTAGCTCGGCTATTCCGCCCTAGTCGGGCTGGGCGTAGGTCACTCCAGTACCAACTCCAAGTACATAACTTGACCCCGCGATCGGGCATGTACACAGGTCCTGATCTTCAGCATCCCCCTCAACGCCATATTCGTCACGATCATGTTCAAGCAGCGCAAGAAGGGCGTCAAGATCACCGACAAGCGCGTGCGGCTCACTAACGAGGTTTGTCGCCCCCCCCCCCCCCACCGCATCCACATTAGCATTGAGCACTGACTCGGGAAGTAGGTCCTGCAGGGCATCCGGCTGATCAAGTTCTACGCGTGGGAGGCGTTCTACGCGCACCAGCTCGGCGAGCTGCGCACGGCGGAGGTCCGGACGATCCGCAAGGTCGCGGTCGCGCGCGCGGTGATGATCGCGAATATGGTGTTCACGCCGATCCTCGCTGCGATCCTGTCTTTTGTGAGTGGTCTGTAATGTCGGGGATGGCATTACGGGTGGCTAACTACGCGAATTTTGGTAGATCACGTACGCGTTGAGCGGACACTCGCTCAATGTGGCGATCATATTCTCCGCGCTGCAGCTGTTCAACGTACGTCTCTAGTTCTCGCGCTTTTCATCGTCGCTACCGCAGCTAACGTCCTGCTATCCCAGATCATCCGCACGCCGCTGGCCTTCTTGCCGCTCGTGTTTGCAGGCACGGCAGACGCGGTCGTCGCGCTCGGGCGGATCGGGACGTTCCTCACCGCCGAGGAGCTCGAGGACCCGTACGCGGTCGACGAGGGGAGCAAGGACGCTGTGCGGGTGAAGGGCAGCTTCGCGTGGGAGGTCGCGGCGTCCCTAGCGGGGAAGGATGGGAAGTTCGGGGCCGGGTTGGGTAAGGGTAAGGGTAAGGGCGGGAAGGAGAAGAAGGAAAAGAACAAGAAAGAAAAGAAAAAGAACAAGGAGGTGTTGCCGACGACTGCTACAGGTGAGGAAGGGAAGAATGAGGAGAAGAAGAAAGAGGACGAGAAGCCGTTCGAGCTCCGGGATGTAGATCTGAAGATACCGAAGGGAAGCTTCGTGGCGATTGTTGGCACCGTTGGGTCTGGGAAGGTTAGCATTTCCTCTGCCAAGGTTTTGGAGCTGACGATTTCACCAATCCACTATGAGTAGAGTTCGCTCTTGCAGGCTATGGTTGGTGAAATGAGGAAAACAAATGGAGAGGTGCGGAACTTCCCAATTCGAGCCTATTACCTACTCATCGTCCATGGCCGGCACGTTCACAGGTTCTTTTCGGTGGATCGGTGGCCTATGTCCCGCAGACGCCTTGGATCATGAACGCTACCTTGAAGGAGAATATCCTCTTTGGACAAGAGTACGATGAGGAGAGGTAAGTCCCGTCACGGTACTTTGTGGCCAGTGAAATAATTGTTCGGCAGGTTTCGTGAGGTCGTGAAGGCATGCTGTTTGGAGCATGATCTGGACCTGCTGCCGCACAGGGAGCACACTGAGATCGGTGAGAAAGGGATCAATCTGAGCGGTGAGTCTGTGCCCTTTATGGGCGGAGCATAAGCTGATATCCCTTGTGTAGGTGGACAAAAGGTATGAAGACCTACAGCCATCGTGTCTACTACAGACTCACCGTTGTTTCGCCAGGCTCGGGTCTCGCTTGCCCGCGCTGCTTATGCGCAGACAGATATCGTACTTTTGGATGACTCCCTCAGTGCCGTGGATGCCTGGGTCGGGAAGTCCATCCTCGACAACTGCCTCCTCAACGGACCTTTGGCTAACACCACGCGTGTACTTGTTACCCACGCGCTGCACGTTCTCGACAAGACCGACTACATCTACGTCATGGACAATGGCGTTATCCGAGAGCAGGGGACGTTCAAGGTATGATGCTCCCTTAAAATCTTGCGACACATATTGAGAGGCAACATCCTTAACACTAGGATCTGATGGCAGACGGCGACGTCTTCTCTCACCTTATGGACGAGTACGGCAATCAGAATGCAGAGCATGCTGAAGCGGCAGAAGGCGAAACGGTGAAGAAAGACATTTACCAGAAGTCCACCGTTAAAGCCAAGAGCGACGCATCCCAAGCGGCTCTGATGCAGGAGGAGGAAAGGCAAACTGGCGCGGTGACACTCACCACTTATACCAAATACCTACGCTACGCCGGTGGCTTGATTTGGGCCCCCTTTATCTTAGCTATGCTCGTGTTAATGCAGGGCGCTTCTGGTAAGAGACGCCCATGCTGAACTCCATCGGCGTTATTCACCCTCCATATAGTTTCGAACAACCTCTTCCTGGGTTTCTGGACGGCGCAGAGTATACACGGGTTCACCCAAGGCTCATACATGGGCGTTTATGCCGCCCTGGGAATTGCGCAAGCGATCTTCACGTTCGGCATGAGTGTCTCTCTAAGGTAAGCCGGGTGCGTGGGGTGCCAGGTTTGGGTGCTGACGATCCAGGCAGTTTGGCAGCGTTGTCCGCTGGTCTGGGCATGTTCAAAGCAGCACTCAGGGCTGTTTTGGGCTCTCCTGTCTCGTTTTTCGACACCACTCCAATGGGTGAGCGAGGCGTCGGATGCTCTTGCCAAGCGTAAGATCTGACGCATCCGTTCAGGAAGAATCATATCCCGTTTGTCCAAAGATCAGGACACGGTAGATACCGAAGTAGCCATGACCGCAACGCAGGTAAGGCCAGTGGTCCTGAAATTCAATCTTCATGACGTCTCACTGTGAATGCAGTTTTTGATAACATTTTCCAATGTAATTGGGACGGTGGTGCTTGTGTTTTACACCTTCCCATACCTCGGCATAATTTTCGTACCCCTGAGTATTCTGTACTATATCGCGGCGGTATACTACCGCAGGACGTCTGTTGAAACCAAGCGGCTAGACTCACTAATGCGATCGGCTCTCTACGCTTCGTACAATGGTGCGCTGATCGAGACATCTGTCTGTGTTCCTATCACTCATGAGTTGCAGAATCGTTGACCGGCATATCAACGGTGCGGGCATATAGAGTACAGGTGAGTGGTCCACGACCGTGCAATCCTATGGCTTTCTCAAGTCCTGCAGGACCGCTTCGTTAAAAGCGCAGACGACGGCCTCGACTTGGAGAATCGAGCTTATTACATGACGGTGGCCATCCAGCGGTGGCTGGGCGTCCGTCTGGACTTTTTCGGGAATATCTTAATTCTGGGAATTGGCCTCTTCGCAGCTGGATTCAGAAACACCGTCGATCCCTCCAAGACTGGAGTGGTATTGTCTTATTCCCTCGCCAGTAAGCGTTCGTCCTTTGCAAGCCAGTGATTCCCGCTTATGGAAAATCCAGTTACTCAGACGCTGTGTACGTATAGCAGTTTGGGCCAATGGTCTGACCGCGACCTCATTCTTAAATTCCACCAGCGCAGATGGTATCAACCTATGCTCAGAACGAGCAGAACATGAACGCCGTAGAACGTATCTTAGTTTACACTGAGCTGCCACCAGAAGGCGAGACCCAGACACCCAATGACCCGCCTCCAACTTGGCCTGAGAAGGGGGCAGTATCGTTCAAGAATGTGGAGTTATCTTATCGACCGGGACTGCCTCTTGTGCTCAAAGATATCAGCTTTGACGTCGAGCCAGGAGAGAAGGTTGGTCCGCCACTGTCACCCGTACCTCAGATCCGTGCTTACCGATTGTTTCGTCGGCTTACAGATTGGGATTGTTGGCAGAACTGGCGCAGGTAAACTTGGTGGTTCCTCTTGCTTTCAGGTCATGCAACCTAATTCACCCAACTCCAGGAAAAAGTTCGCTGCTCCAGGCTCTGTTCAGGTAAGCGTGATTGTCTACAGCGTCCACGGCTTTCTGACCTCGTTGTCCCAGGATGGTCGAGCTACAGGGCGGGAAAATAGAGATTGACGGCCGTAACATCCGCGAGATTGGTCTGGCTACGTTACGGTCCCGCCTTGCTCTGGTTCCGCAAGACTGCACACTGTTCTTGGGAACTTTGAGGGAGAACCTGTGAGAGCCTCGGACCTTTTCGCTGGGTACCTTGCGCCCTAACCATGTGCCTATAGGGACCCAGAAAACACTCGTACAGATGCGGAATTGATATCTGCTCTACGGCGAGCCTGGCTTCTACCGCAAGACGGGTCATCAGATCCCGCTGCTGAGGCTAAGTTTAGTCTGGATTCTCCGGTGAATGATGAAGGTGCGTCTGCACCCTCAAGAGCATTGGTTTTGGTGTCGACTGGGCAAAATAGGTAGCAACTTTAGTGCAGGAGAGAAACAGCTCCTGGCTCTTTGCCGGGCGCTCGTGAAGAATAGTCGAATCATTGTCCTGGTGGGTGGCGTGACTGTCTGCTTCCATCTTTGGGCTTACATCTCTGTTCAGGATGAAGCTACAAGCAGTGTCGACGTAGAGACTGATGCGAAGATCCAGAGGACAATCCAGACCGAATTTTCAACTTCGACCCTGTTGTGCATTGCACACCGACTGAACACAATAGGTAAGCGTGTGCATGCTGGTGCTCCTCTATGTCTCCTCTGATAGCTTTCTGCAGTGTATTATGACCGTATTTTGGTGATGGACTCGGGAAAGACGGCAGAATTCGATACCCCTCTGAATCTATTTGACCAAGAGCACTCTATTTTCCGATCGCTCTGCGACGAGGCCGGAATATCACGACAGGATATTCTTCGCATTAGGACGGGGCTATCGAGTTCTGTCCCCTCAAAGGCTCCATCAGTAACATCATGACCAGCTCCTACTTTCACGATTGCTTCGTATGTAATGGATGAGATCTGAGGAAGGTAGACACATTACACTGTACTACTACTAATGGATTAATAGTGCTCTTGTAACTTTGTTAGTTTCTAGAGAGGCTACTGTCGCAGTCTACCATCCAAACATCGATTTCCCGTCCTTGAATCCCCATTTCTCCAGACTGGGTTTACCGGATTTCTCCACTAAGCCTGGGGGACCACAGACGAAGACACAAGAGTCATCGGATGGCTCGAACATTCTCTCCTATTCATGCTATTGGTAAGATTAGCGTAGTTGTAAAGACCGGCGTACTCACCTTCATGACACCTTCGTCGAACTGACCAGTACCTCCAGTCTTCTTCCAGTCTTCTTCGTCTTTCGGATGACTGAGAATATGCCAGATCTCGAATTGTCCTTGACTGCGCTCTGCCAGATCATTGAGCTCTTCGAACAGGAGTATGTCATCCTCAGAATTGTTGCAGTACACCAGCTTCAACTTCGTATCGTCAGAATCATCAAGGACAATAGCATGTATGAGTTGATAGTGAGGGGTGATACCGGACCCTCCAGCGAGGAGGTTGATCTTGCTGAACCGGTGCTCTTCGCCATCAGAAGTGAATTTGCCACTCCCAAGGTAGACAACCTCTCCCATGGGCCCTTTCGCGTCTATCTGTTCGCCCTCCTTCAAGCAGTCCAGGTAGTTACCAATTGTTCCTCCGGGCGGAAATTTGCCTTCTTCGTCAGGGAAGTATCTGGAACCAAATGTTAGCCGCACACGTTCTAAGCGCACTACAGGGACTGCTCACGATTTCACTACCAAATCGAAAGTTCCGTCGTCTTCAGAAGCTAGGACGGGCCTTGTGGGAGTATACGGGCGGGTCACCATCCTATCCCTGAAATGTACACCCTGTGATCCTTTCAGTCAGGACATGTCGACATTGCCGCCAAATGCTTACCATGCCAATGTGATTTCCTATGGGTATGCCTACTTTCTTCTTCATACCCTCACCTGCAGGAAGGTAAAAGGTGTAGCGCCTGGTATCGTGCGACAGCTCCGACCTTTTGACTAAAGTCACAGGGCACCAACTACCGATCTCAGATCAGTTTCCTCAGGGTACCAAGGATAGGTCGCAACGCGCCTATGTTTCTTCAGGGCATACTCGTCTCTCTCCTTGGATTCTTTGCTGCGAGCTTCCGTGGCGCGTTTGGCGTCTTCCTGGACGAAGCGGATCACGTTAACCCGCCGTTGGAATAAAATCCGCGAAATAGCTTACCCTCATTAGCTCGACGCCCTTCTTTGTCAGAACGCCAATGTAGCACTCGTCCCGTTTCCTGCAGCATGTTTATCGCAAATATCCCAACTAGCATATGCGGTACTCACTTATTTGCGTAGTCTATGGATACTGGTGGAGTCTTCAGCCAGTACCATATGAATCATCAGGGAAGCAATTACCTGGCATATTCGAGGGTAGTTTCGGTATGGCATTTGCCGGCATGCTGCGGAAGAGCCTGAGACAAAGGTTACCCGGCATTGAAAGTCGTAATTATCTTGCCGGCATGATAGCATTGGCTCCGCCAGGGTGCCAGCTGAGAATGGAGGTCACGTCATAAACCTTTGTATTAATCACCTAGAAGGGGCAATAGTTGTGAGAATTCTCCATTGAGCAGCAAACGATACATGATACTGACGATCCAGCAGTCGTTTCTAGCAGCATGTTTCTCCACCTCCTCAATCGTGAATTGCTTATCGCCATCTGCTGCGCCTGACGTCCGAGCTTCGACAGCTATCTTCACTTGCTCTTCCGGTGAAGGTTTCATCCATCCATCGTCAGATCCGGGCACCACAGGATGCTTCCAGGTGACGGCGATTCCGTTGTCGTCCTTGACAGTAGTCGATTTGATAACATATATAGAGTTGTTCAAAGTACCCAGGATATTCCAAGTCTGTAGAGGACGCTCTCGTGAATATCCTCAAGTTCATTCCTGACTGACGGCACTCACAGGGTGAACAGGTTGTGTATTCTGTCGAACCGAAGGGAGTATACCACGTGGGTGGCCATGACATCGCGGAGTAGACTCAATCGAGACGCACCTTCTGAGAATCCCATGCGCGGCAGCGAACCTCCTTCGCAGTTATCAGGCCCTCAACTTTCACCTCACAATACCAGTGTAACCATGTCCAGAACTTGCGGCCGTGCCGCAAAGGGGCATCCGGCCACCGACTGCCGATAAAAGAGCAATGTTTGTTGAATACATACCAGTCTTAACCGAACCACCTACCGAAAACAGTACTTCCAGGTCTTGCCCTCGTCTAAACTCACTTCTACTCTAGTGATCTCGGCACCCGCACCCGCATATGCATACCCTTGAATCTTGTACTGACCGGAGGTCACAATTTACACCCGATGAACCTGATCAGTGCTACTTACCTTCCGCTGGTCCAGCGCGACTTGTTCCCCATGTGCGGGACGGCAGATGGCACTGTTTAAGATCTGCTCATAGCAAGCGGTCGAAGGGTGATGGTAGAACACCTAGAGTAGGAAACCCTGAGGAGCGATTCGTCGTATGCCGCCTTAGTGTGCTCACCTTTGCGAGCAAACTATCCTGTTCGGTCACAAAAGAGGGCATAACGCGACTTACACCAGAGTCAGCCCCGGAGGTCATCGCATAGCATCCGTAGCTTACTTTTCCCAGATCTTTCAAGAGGCTTTGTGAGTATTCAAGCAGCAGCCCACAGAGACAAGCGACTAACGTGATACCAATTCGTGCTCTCCTCTTCGCTAATCCAGAGCTTCTTCAACCACTTGATCAATCTTCCTCCAACAAAGCCCGGAATGATAGATCGCAGTGGATAGCCATGATCAGGGTGTAGTACTCGTCCATTCATCTCATATGCCAGCATCACGTCGTTCATCGGGTCCATAGCGTAGATAAAGGGTATAGAGGTAGCGTAAGGCCCGCTGGAACAATTATCTGCGCCTGGGGGACGGCATGAAGGTCTCGATGAGTAAGACAGCCTTTGCAAGGACGTACCTTCGTAGTGCACAAACCATTTCTTTCCCGAAGGTGGGCTCTCCGGTGCGCCACAAGCAATCAGTACGTCTCTCAGGGGGACTCCTTTCCAGTATGCACACGCCGTCGCACCAGCAGCCCAGCTAAAGCCCTTGGTTTTCTTCAGGGACAGTCAATATCTCCAGATAAGGCGTTTCTTGGAAAGAGAACGTCACCTTGATCAAGTTATATTCACCTCGCCTGTTGTTATCGCAGGCGATGTTCACAGGGAGGCAGATAGAATCCATACTTGCCAATTCATCCATCGAAAATTTCTTGGCGTTCGGAAGAATATCGGGTGGGTGCGAAAATACGTCGAGCAAATGTGTTTCCCAGGTTAATCTCGGGACTTGACCTGTGTCATTCAGTTGTAGGAACGAGGAATATTATTGAGACCGTCGTCTAAAGGTGCAAAGACGTCGGCAAACTGACCGTGGCTTCGAACGTAATGTAGTCTTGTAGGGGTTATCATTCCCGCGCCGAACAGTTCACTCATCGGCGGCTCCGCATTTAAAGGGCTTTTGCCCGCCAGCCGAATGAGAGCAGGCGATCGAGGTATCCTGAGTGCGCATACATCAATCACCAGCTTTATCTCCGATACTGAGTGGACTCACCAGTTCTCCGGCATAAACTGGTCGTCCTCCGCAATATACATCTCTAGATTGTTCTCGATAGTGGGCGCGGGGGATTGCCCATCGCTATAGATAGTATGAATCAGCTGTCATAAAATGAGCAGAATGCGAGATAGGCACTAATTCTTGAGCCGGAATAGATGCTCCTGCTCTTCAATAACGTGCTTGATGAATTCCTCCTCCTCCTCGTTTCGCTGAACGAGTGAAATCGGAGCCACGTGAGGCTAGTGGAATGTGCTGAGGTTATCCGACTTACAGGTTTGGGTTCGCTCTCGTGCTTCTCATCCTGGTCTTCTTTGTCTCCTTCACCTTTGGTACCACGCCCGACTGCATCGAGGGGTTCGCATGATGGTTATAATCAGCTGGATGCGCAATGTGACAGTTGCACTGACCTGTGTCATCCCTAGTGTCCATTTCATCCTCTTGCTTATTGGTATTACCCCCTGCTTTCCTCTGTCAGAATTTGCCTTGTTATGCAAATATATTATATTCATCAAGGTTACCTTGGCCTCCATTCTTCTCCGCTTCCGCCCTTTCTTTCTCCTCTTTCTCTTTCTTCTCTTTCTCTGCCTCAGCCTTTTTCTCCTCTGCAGTCTTGTAATCTTTAATGTCGCTCTCTGTCTAAAAAGGAATCAAAAGCACGGACGATATCTCACACATATAACTCACCGTAGGCAGGACGAATCTGGCAAGCGCATGTCTAGAGCCAGGTCCGTCCCCGTTAACGAACTTATAATTCACAAAGACCTCCTTCGCGTCTCTGACGTTCCAGATCTTTCTGTTACCGTTCTCGTCTACGCCTTTTGCTATACATCCAGCAATCTTCGCCTCCTTGTCATGCTGTTCCTGAGGATCAAAGGCAGGACTTTCTCTAGAGTGACGACTACTGGGATCATCAGAGATACCGGCCCGCCTACCGTCTAGGCGGGGGTGGCCTGATTGAGACGCGAATCCATGAGCATTCGTGTGGTAGTACTGCGCTTCATGCGAGACCTCCGCAGGCGTGGCATGGCGGTAGGACTGTGTAGACCGTAGACTGGTCGGATGACCGTTTGGTCCAGCATAGTCAACGGGGAAGCCTATGCCAAGTCAATAGGATGCGGCGATATTCAAAGGTTGTATTTACGTTGCTTGTAGTCAGCCCCGCCTGCGCGTTCTTGGACAACGGCGGACATGAATGGTGGTGGGGAGGGGAATGAGAGAGAGAAAAGCAATCGTGCCTCGCTTATATATGTCGAAATTCGTGAAGTAGTGAGGAAAGTCCCGCTCATGAGCTAGGTGTCATCGAGCGAAGGATGAAATGAGAACGAAGTCATGACGTTTGTGCTGCATTTGGTAAGTCATTAGCCTGATTCGGAGACCCACCATCGAGGTTCACCAGGTTCAGCGCTTAGCGTTTCCACCTTGTACATGTCCTCGTGCAAACCGTCGCACCCGCTGACAGCGATGTCCAATAGTTGGCATGTCCGGAAGCCTTGCGCGGAGATTAACGTGTAGAGCATCGTGGGAACGGAAAACCCGGGTCGATTAGCCACAAACTCGTTCGAGTCTACTCGAGTCTCCACTGCCATGAGCACAGTGAACAGCCTGAGCTTGGCCGCCTTCCACTTCTTGCGCAGTCAATTTCGCAGAGTCCAGAAAATGCACCTTTAATAGAAACTATCTTTTCTATTGGTGTACAGGCAAATGACAGTACGAGTGAACCTCCGTTAGGGAATCCAGCTTGCGACCGGTATAAATCCACTAATTCTATTCCCGCCCGAATTCTTGGTAGTGCGCGTCGATAGTGACATCGCGAAACCACGGTTCAGTGTGGACTTGGAGGTGTTCATGGGTTGGCGCGGGCCCCGCGGATCCCCAATGTCCTGCCTTTGACGCTCTTTCTCTTTCGCTGAACGGATCTCCGAAAATTACTTCGCTCGCAGTCTAGGGTCAACCGAACACGTCAAGTTTCTTGACGCCCTCTTAGCTGTGCCATAGAAGGGTCATGTCTACCCTTCCTCGCGGATTCTCAAGCGCACCCGCCGCACCTAGACCTGATGCTCGGTATGTACTTGCTTTGTGTTGGTGTGTTATCACTGGCTGACTCGCCGCACATAACTAGTTGAAGTCTCCCTTGGTTGGCATCTCGAGTATTAAGATAGTAAGGCACAGTCAAAATGGCCACTGGAATGGTCAACGAGCAATCCTAGGACAGCGTCAATTCACACATACATAAGAAGGTCGACGGCAAAGATTTGCCAGAAACCAGCTTCCTAGATGGAACCGACTGCCTCAGACGAAAGCACCGCATTCAGAGTCTGCCCCCGCACCGTGGCTTACAGTTCTCGCTCGCAGATGGCCCGCAAGCAGCCTTACCTTCCGAGAAACGGGACTGGCAGCGGATTATTCAAGGCCACGCTCATACCCAAGACCTAGATAACAACGTATCTGCTCCGGGGACCCTGAGTCCGAACTTTCATTGCAGAGTCCGCATTCGTGGACCAACGATAAGGACGAGCAGTAACGTGTCCTCTGTCTATGATACCCCCGACTATTGACGTAATTCCGCATCCAGTGTTGTGCTTCGGCGCACTGAGGGATTCGATAATGCATATACCCCTATGTACGGTGCCGACGATTATAACAAGTTGGTTAAGCATCTTTTAGGAGTTGTCCAGTCGGGAGGAAAGATCTTAAGTTTGGCCACCGTGTCTGGCTGTCCGATTCCAGGTAGCTGGATTGCGAACTCGACGTCAGGGCAGACCCTCAAGAGGATGGTGTACCCCTATCACAAATCACATAGAGGATTGCACTGCCATCGGTTTCATAGATCGTCATCAGTGTCAATCGAGAGTGAAAGTGCGTGTCAATTATCGCAATATGAGATATGTAAGGATACCAAGGGACAGGCAATACGCAGACCCAGAAAAGCACCGCCGAAGAGCCCGAGAGATAGAAAGCTGATAATACATGCGAACCATACCTGAGTATTACATTCACCCTGTTCTACATACCCAAAGGATGATTCTCCGAATAGCCTCCGTAACCTCCTCCGTACTCAGCGGCTGCCCTACTGGTGGTATCTGCAGTCCAAGCACCTTCGTAACGTCCTGCATCTCTGGGTCCGGACCGCGGCGATTAGAGGCGCCCCGTCGAGACTCGGCTAAGGAACAGAAATACACGAAGTCGCACAGATAATGTCCAGCGTCCATAGACGTGTAGACTTGCTGCAGTGTGAAAGGATATTATTAGTAGAGTAACCGGCGGAAGAAACGCGGCAACGCACTTCGATTCCGGTCTCCTTCAGATGGACAACCAGCTTCTCCACATCAATCTCGGTATACAAATCATCGTCGAAATTCTCATATCCCTTCCCAAACCCTCTTAAAGGCCCCATCGGATCAACGACCTCGCTCGGAGGTCGATTGCCTACCCGGTCGTTGAGGATAGTGAGCCTGTCCATCTCCCGTCGCTCCGCCTCTGTAATCTCTCTCGCCACAAGACTCTCCTGCGCGACCACTGGCGCCATCGCGCCCGTTGCGTCCTTTAGTCTATACCCTAGCTTGTGCCCCACTTTCTCCATCCTCAATGGTCCCCGCCCGGCTACGCCGACATGCAACACGAAATCATACCCGTCTTCTGGGGGAGCGATGAAGGGAAGGCTGTCGTTGCCATGTCGCGGGAGCATCGGAGGGGTGGCGTGGATTGGGGGGACGATTGCAAGAGCGGCACCGTATTCCATGGGTATCAGCAGGCTCGTGATGTGTATTTGTCGCGGGCGAGGCCCGTCTTCGTCGACGATCATCGCGCTGTGGTCGTCATGGATGATTGGTGAAGAATATTCGTACCCGTCAGCTTCCATGACGGTGTTGTGCAGAGGTTTGACTGCGAGCCATGACGGGTTTTCGCGAAAGCGACCAAAGGGCTAGACAGACCTGAAAACATTAGGTTTTGAACTGTTGGCAAGGAGAGAAGGAAAGTGGGAGAAAACTAAACCTCACACCGAAGCCAGTCAGCAAGACGCGGTAGGGATTGTTGTCGAAGGATGCCATGGCGGATAAGGAAGAAAAAGGTGTAGCGCCTGGCGAACCGAGTCTGGGGAAGCGTGATGGCTGCGACAATAATGGTGCACTGGAAGCAGTTTATCTTCAGATTTTGTGCCGGAAAAGCATATTAGGTTTGGCAAAAGTTTGGCTCGAGGGGGGACGTGCGGAGCAAAGAGGCCCAGAGCAGTGGAAAAGGCAGTGCAATGCTTGTACGGGGCGCCCTGGTGCCGCGCTGCTCAGCCTGCTGCGCTGCCTTGGGTTTCTGCTTTCCCCAAACGCTGTATACGTGCCGGGCGAAGATTCCCAGGTATTCAGGTAAGAAGAGCGAATATCGGCGCGGACTCGATACGGGTGACCACACGCAGGCTGCACGCTCGACTGCCAGGGCACATGCAGGCTCGGAGACAGTTTACCGGTATGTAATTTCACGTCGCGGTATATAGTTCTCTGCTTGCCAGCCAGTCTCGGCACGGCAGCGTGGCCAGGACCATGCGTGGTAGCGACGCTCAATTATTCTATTGCAGAACAGTAATAATTATGCGAGTACAACTGAGCCGACAAAGTCCTCTCAGGGCTCCAACGAGGCAGGGAACGTGCCGTTTTCTCTTTGTTCATCGAAACGCTGGATCTATAAACAGAGATGACTGTGTCAGTAACGGAGGCAACAGAACATGCTCCATCATACTCACCCATTCATCTAGCAGGCGCGACGGGTAGTTAGAGGTCGAGCTGGAACAAACATCGTAGGATAACGACGTACTAGGGCACAGAGAGTTGTACGCCCTCTTGAATTGCTTGCACGGGGCGAAGTCCTCGCCCTTGGCGGCAATGCACTTGAAATAGTCCGTGTAGTTTTGGAAGCTACGTCCCCCGACCAGTGTTCAGTATGGATCCCAGCGTAGCTGCGCACAACTCACCAGTGTCTCGTCTGGTTCGTGTTCGGGAACCGGGCTAATAAAAAGAGCACACCGTCTCAGTATCAGCCCCATTTCAGCGCACTAAACGAGTAAACTGCCGCGAACCATCGAAACCGGCCGTCTGCAACACGTATTTGCTAGGGGTACGAATCCATCAGCAGACATCAGCAAGACTGGCCTCCAGGCATACCTCTCGAGTTCAGACATTTCTGTGGAAGCGTGTAGGGAGATTGTTGCAGTCACTGAACACAGTGAACAGACGAACGGGAGTTGTCGGATATGCCAGCCACAATAATATTACGTCAGCATCCAGCCTTCGACTAGAGTGCTCTGGCACTGTCTCTCGCGGCGCGCTTGGGTTACTTACGAAGATCTTTCGTTCTGGACTAATTCACGGTCCCGTCTGCTTCATTGTTGTATTCCTCGGGCACCGCTCGCCGAAAATGGATGCATTGAAAGCTGAAATCGCAAACAAGCGCAAGGCGCTCGAAGATCCCGCCTTGGCCGCTCGTCCAAACAAGTATGTGCGGCGCGGTGAGCTTGAACGGCTCAGGGAAGAGAAGGAGAGACAAGAGCGTGAAGAGAAGGAACGACAGAAAGCTTTGAAAGCGGAGGAGGAGAGAAAGGCTGCCGAGGCTAGGGCGGCAGCTCGCGCAAGAGTATGTACACCAGTTATCTCTTGTTTTATGCAGACATGCCTCGCGCACTTGTCTTTCACGCGTCGTGCATGCTGACTTGTGAATGGAGAACAGAGTACCACCCCGTCACGCTCTCGCTCGCGGACTCCCGGGGCACCCCAGTCGCCAGCCCCCGCTGACCCGAACGCCGAACCTGGCTCAAGCTTCAACATATCCAATGAAGAAACAATCCGCCGTTTGCGCAGCAAGGGCCAACCCATTCGCTTATTTGGCGAGTCTGACAAGGAGCGCCGCCTGCGTCTCCGTGCGCTAGAGCTCATCGAGGAGAAAGACCACCCGCGCATCGGTGGCCAGAACGACTTCAAGAAGGCCCTGGAAGACGTGGAGCTTAAGGCGCGCGAGAAGTCCGCGGCCGGGGATAAGGAGAAGGAGAGTAAATGGAAGGGCGAAGACTATGGTGGCGTGCTGGACCTGGAACTGGTCAAGACGGACCCCGACAAGCTGTACCCCATCATCTACTATGCCATAAAGCGGACGTTAAAGGAGTGGGAGCAGGCGTTAGAAGAGAGGGAGGAGCATGTGAAGCGAAGTACGCAGGGAAAGCTGGCTGCTGCTACGCAAAAGCAAGCTGCGGATTATTTGAAGCCGCTATTGAAGCTGCTAAGAGCCAGAGTAGGTGGTGCTGGCTCGTCATCCTGAAACCTCCGATATTCATTCACACTAGAATTTGCCCTCGGACGTGTTAGCAAGAATAGCGGAGATTGTCCACTACATGCAAAAGCGACAATATCAACGCGCCAACGACGCATACCTTCGGTTATCCATTGGAAACGCTCCGTGGCCAATCGGTGTTACTATGGTTGGGTATGTCCGCTTCATTCACTCTGCGAATTTCGTGGTATCTAACGCCATTCGCTTGCAGTATTCACGAGCGTTCAGCTCGAGAGAAGATTTCGTCAGACCAAGTTGCTCACGTCTTGAACGATGAAGTGAGCCGTAAGTATATCCAGAGTCTCAAGAGGTTCGTCCGTTTCACTGTATTTGGCATAGTCTTCCTGACGGTTCCTCAGACTGCTCACATTCGCGCAAACTAAATACCCACCCGACGATGCGACCCAGCGGATGGGTTAGCTAGCTGTACGCGGCCCTTCTGTATATTGCACGCTTGTATACCATGCTGTCCGATGGTCGCCCGGTTTCGGAGCACTCTTCTCCTAATCTCATGCTTCCGTGATTTGTGTCTAACATCCCCTTTTAGTCTATTATGCCACCGTGCGGAAGCCACAACAGGTCAAGAGCGGGATGCTGTATAGGTCTTGATAACCGATACCATCACGACAGCTTACCTGTCGTTATCGTTTCCCTTTCTTTCCTTTCTTCCCTGTGCTGGCACCAGCTGGTTTGCCTGTCCCCGGACTGGCTAGTGCATGTCCAGTATCTCTAATGTGGTTGAACAGCTTGGTCTTGCTCTCGAATTTCTCTTTGCACACGTTGCATGTTTGCTGAGGGCACGGTACATGGTAAATCAACGTCAACGCGCCTTACAATGATTGCAATCTCACCGTATTCGTGGATCCCTCTTTCGATTTTTGGGCCTTCGCCGCTTCCCTTGCGCGCCTTTTCTCCCTTTTGGAAAGTTCGGGCTTCGGTTCTGCATCTCCTGATGTGGTCGGCGATTCGGTCGTGAGACCTGGATCTTTAGCGTCGTCGCGCTTGATCTCTTGTTGATGGAGTCCGACCTTCGCGGCAGGGTCCTGCGAGTCAACGAGCCCGATCCCAGATTCAGCAGATAAGGTTCCATTGTCAATAGTGACGGGGTCAAGCTTTACGTCGTTGGCCTGTGGATCACCTTCCGCAGGGGTACTAGCCGAGTCGTCAGACGCACTATCCGGCTCAACTTCACTGGCATCCCGGCTGGGCGGACGCGACGGAGGCTCCTCTGGTTCTGATAGATCCGCGTCTCCAGTCAAACCAAGCTCCTCATCGTCCTCTGCCATTTCTCTCTTTAGCCTTTCTACCTCCTTCAGATGCTTCTTGCTCCTCTCGTGGCTATTCCAAGCAGCTTCACTTCGGAAGCTCTTGCCGCAGGCGACGCATTCCCACTGCTCCTCATCTTCGTTCTCCGCTACCGCCCAATCGATATCGTCGTCCTGGGAGCTAGGTTCGACGTCTTGCCACGATTGGGCAACGAAAGCCTTTGCAGGATCTGAAGCCGTTCTGGATCCATCCGCGTTTCGTGGCGTGGAGGACCCGCTTGCCTTCGCTTGGTTGGCTTCGGCTTGACGAGCAAGATGTGCCTTGTAACGAGGATCGCGTTTGCGGATGAACAATGCCAAGGACTATAGTTACTGTTAGCGAGACCATAGAATAGAATCATATCATGCGCCAGACTTACCCTGACGGTTTCATTGTATTCTCTCCGCGCGTCTTCTCTAGCTTTCTTGTTGTCTCGTTCCATGATCCTGGTTCTCGAAGTCAGAATGCTTGACGGGGAATATGTGTCAAAGCTCGTGCCTTCTTACTCTCCGGTCAGGAGCGGTACTAAGGTCCCATACTTCCATCCATTCAAATTCTTTTCCCGTTGCGAAATTGGTCCAGAAGTTGTAGAACGTCCTGGCAGCCGTCATTTCTTCACCTTTGGCTGCAGGTACCCAAGGCCACGTTGGATATCCGAAAGACGGTAGCGGTGTATCGTTGTAGAATGACTCGTCATGTGCGAGTCGTGCAAAGAGGTTCCGGTATATCGTGAAGAAGCTCTACGTCTCCATCAGTCATCTGTAACCGCCGAGTAAAAGGAATGTAACGAACATTCTCATCGTCTCCGTATCCAGACCAGATACTTGCGTCGAAGAAAGGTGCGAGGTGCTTCACCGTAAGACCTCTGTCTCGCGCCCGAGGCGGGGCAGCACCTTTTTTGATGTCCTCGAAGACGGTTTGCGCGTCTGGCTCAGGCGCCAACGAGGCCCTATGCGAATCGTACCACGCTCTCTCCTACTTGAAGATAAGAATCAGACTAACAGTCTGTCTCAGCGTGACTCAGAATCTACCTGCTCATCACTTAACACCTGTATAACCGGTTAGTGGGATGTAAACTGGGCAGTACATGGTTGGACGTGCCTCGTATGCCTGCTGGATGGCAGCAAAGCGTTTCGTGGCCCCTTCTATGTCGTCCTTGTTCTTGTCCGGGTGGTGAATGAGAGCTAATCGACGGAACGATCGCTGGGGTCAAGTCACGAAATGCGTCGATGATCCTGGTCGAAGAGATCGTACCCTGATATCGTCCGCGCTGGCTGATTCTTCGACTTCTAGCAATGCATAGTAGTCCGTTACCCCTCCAGTCTCAGACTCGCCTTCTTCTGCCCGAGATGCGGAAGCCCCTGCTCCCATAGTGTATAAGACGTCGTAGAGTAGTCCAAAGGCGATATTTCGGCAATTAGATCGAAGCCGACACCAGCCGTGGGAATAACTTCCCGCCACAACCGCGACTTCCCTGAGTTCCAGCGGCGCTGGTGCTTACACGCTTTACGGCTTCCGCTGGAACTGGTTCAGCTCGTACATACTACTGAGTGCCAGTGTTGTCCGGATCGAACTCCAAAATGTCCAGCTTCTTCAAGTCTGTCCCAGGAACTTCGGCGTCCCAAAATACGTCTGCAGGTGCGTCGTACGGAAGCTATGGAGGATGAGGGTCCTGAACGAATACTTGCTCAGAAATGCAGGCGAAGAAAGACGAAATGAAAAGAGAATTGGAGAATGAGATCCGGGTGCAACAGGCACAGGGTCTTCTGGCTGTGCGTTCCCGTCTCCTCGTCACTGTTTTAGGGATGATGAACTTTTGGCAGTCCATTGACGAAAAATGCTTCGCTAAGTGCATAACGAAGCCTGGTACATCCATGTCCAGAACGGAAGAGGTAAGTCTTGCTGTGCGAACCTATATCCGCTCTAACTTCTTGGATCAGACGTGTCTATCGAGATGTCTGGACAGGTATATGGAAGCATGTGAGCCGCATTATATGTCGTCCCAAATATTACCGTTGCTTACGCTTGGCCTCAGTTGACATCGTCTCGCGTGTATATCTTGCTCGGATTCAAAGAGAACGGATAGACAGATCGACGTAATATCTGGAGTTGCTCTGCCTACTCTTGGCCTACCCTCCCATCTCGCTGGTAACGACTCCCTCGTTTCATTATAACCTAATCATAATTGTCGTCGGATGTCGGCGGCGTGCATGTCACAATCTTGTGCTCTCTCGTTCTCCTTTGATCTTCACCCCGCGGCAGCCGGCTGGTACGTCAACATCGTGATTGAGTAACGAATAAATGGACCGCCAGTCAGCCCGAGCGGGCCAATATGATGCATACGGCGAGGATGGTCTACGATTACAGTGCCCGATACAATAAGAGCAATAGCCATAAATAAGCCATGTGGACTACGAGTGAACCAAGGTAAGATAAAATGTGGGCGACGTATAGCCAAGCGGTAAAGTATTCACAGAAGTTGAGGATAATATGTGCAGACGGCATATGCGCGATGCTGGTGGTGCTCGAGTAGAGTAAATCATATAATGCGACAATGCGAGATGTTGAGGCCACTGCGTCAAGCGTGGGGGAGGTGGATGCAAAGCATAAATAGCCGCACAGCCGGCATGTAATGTAAGGAGGAGATAGAGCGCAGCGTCGATGGCCGAGCAGGAATTTACTACTGGCTATTCTGATACTGGACATAGTGGGACGTCCAGTATGGAGAGGCGGGATCGGGATCGGGAGGGTGCGCTGCCAATGGCTCGACAAAGGCAGGCTCATCGTACACAGATCCGCAGTGAACATCGGGGGCCAGACCACGGGGAGCCCAATGTAATGGCGTCGTGAGGATGGGCGAAGACGGCGGATGCGCTGCCACATGCGAATATGGGTCCATAGATAGCGAAGACAGGGTGCCTAATCCCGCGTGCGAGTCGTAGGAGCCGCGGTGACCGGAGAAGAAGGAATTGTCAGGAGGCGAGATAGGGGATACCACCTGAGGTGCACTGCACGAGCCGTCGCTCGAGCAGTGATACGGGCCTTCCGCCCCATGGCCGGGAAGTGGATAGTCCGGGGTCACAGGAGTATGGTACGTCGAAGAGTACGGCGAGCCGCGAGAGTACTGGGAACGCGGGGAAGATAACGATGAGGAGGTCGACGGGGGGCCCAGCAGAGCACTGACACGAGGGTCGAGATGTTGAGGGGCAGATTGGGGCACACCTGGACTTAGCTCGAACAGCGAGGCACTAAGTATCGGCGGGCCAGAGAAGGACCGTTTCCGAGTGCGACCGGCGTATTCGGGCCTTGGCGTCTCCTCGTGATGCAAGTCGCCAGCAGAGGGCGCGTCAGCTATTGCGGGCGCCACCGCAGACTGCGGCGCCGACTCGTCGGGAACACCATAAGGGGCAGTGAGCTGTATCCCTGAGCCAGGCGAGCTCATGTGGAACCTGCGCACGAGATTGGCCAGGACGGCGACGGAGCCGACGAGGTCATGCCTGAGGTTGGACGAGGCCTGCATGCCCTCGGTCCAATCAGTGGACGCCTGCCAGGATCGAACCGGCGACGCCCCTGCTGGACCCGTCGGCGCGAGCACGTTTTCTGTAAAGAACAGCGGCGCTTGCGATAAGAAAAAGGACGCGATGGCTGTACCGGGGGCCGCTGTACTGAATTGCGAGTCCACGATCGAGTCGAAGGGGATTTCAATCTTGAACCCGCGATCAGAAGTGTGGACGAACCACGTCAGGCACCTCCGACCCTCGCAGATATACGCCACCAAGTCGGGCGTGCCGCCGGCATTTGCTATCCGTCGCCACCAGCCGATGTTAAGTTCCATGCATGGAATGATGGTAATGGCTGCATCAGTCACTCGTTAGCGAGCGGGGACGGCGAATTGAGGAGGCCACCTTTACCTTCGTCCTCGTGGATGACGCTCTCCAGTTGGTGCTCTTCGGCCGAACGCAGGTCTGGTGGCGAGTCCGGAAACCTTTCCGAGAGTTCATCTCGCTGGGCCTTCTTGCTGTCCTGTAATTTGGCTTTGGCACGCCTGCAATTGACAGTGAGCGACGCACAGGGGGGATGAAGCCTTCCACATACCGGTTCTGGAACCAGATCTGCGTCTGTCGCTCTTGCATGCCCAGGAACTGACTGATCTCTTTCCGACGAGCGGCGGTCGGGATCCGGTCTTCAGCAAAGAACTGTTCCAAATGCACGAGCTGGTCCTGAGTAACGCGAGATCGTTTGCGCTTCTCTCGGTCTCCCTTGATTGACGTCGCGCTCTTGCATTTTCTGGGGCCCCTGCTAGGCTCGGGAGGGCAAGCCATTTCAGGCGAACAAGAGGCAAATCTCCTTCCGGCGGGGCCAACCTCAGACGGTGTGGCCGGGGACGCAAGGGAGGAGGCAGGGGACAACTGAGCTTCCTGATCCTCCGACTTTACGATGTCGACCCGTATCGCGGTCGGTCGAGCATCGGGGCGATACAGCGACTGTGACGGTTCCCCCGCTATATTTATATTAGAGCGTAACCCATATTCAGGGAAACCATTGCACTTACATTCCATGGTCTATAAGTTAATGCCACCGCAGTCGAGCTTCTAGAGAAGACAGAAAGCGCCGACAATAATGTAAGAGACTGTCAAGGATCTCAAGCAATCAGAGACAGATTCGAGGAGAGCTAGAAGGCGCCGTAAGATATACGGCACTGCCAGTAGCCCACGAGGCGAAGATCCAGGTGACGCGGGAATGGCCAAGCGGTCAGAAGAAAGGAAAGGGATGTTAAAAGAACGACAGCCGTCGGAGTGACGGCCCAGAGCCACCAAAGGCGAATACAGGAAACAATACAGAGGGGGGAGAATGGGCGAGAGAGAGGCCCGGAACCAAATGCAAGGTGGCAGACGCGGCGCCTTTTGGGCGAGGAACTTACCGAAGGAATGGCTCGGCCGAGCGAGAGAAGGCGCACTTGCGCTCGGGGCGGGTTCCAAGGAAACGGACTGAGCGAGCCGGTTGCGGTACTGCACGTCCTCAGACGGAGGCCAGGCGAAATGAAGGCAGGAAGAGGACGAGGCGGGGAAATGATGGCAGGGAGATCCTCTTGTATGTTTGACGACATCTCGAGGCTAACCTTGAACGCTTGTTTGTGCACGTCAACGGGTGCAGCGTGAATGTGAAACTTGCACTGCTTCAGATAAGATCTTTGCCCCCAATCTCGACGCTTCGAAGTCGCCCAGGCACGCTTTCGAACGGCATTTACATAAACGCAGCCCTTTGCAGCTCGGGACCGTCCTTCGCGGCAGTCCAAGAGTCTACCTCCGTTCAGGAGAACATTACAGGGAATACGACTGCCATTGCATAACGTCGTGGACGCGCGTAAGCTGCTACAGACAGCGGGACGAGTAACGTACGATTACGTTAACACATGCTCGTCGTCGTCGAGCCTTGGAGTCTGTCCGTGGCTTCTGGGCTGCATGATGGCGGGCGACCTGACGACTGCCGACGCGCGCCCAACAAGGAAAGGGCCCGAGCGACGGCAATCTAGCTCCTGTTTACATAATCGTTAGCGATAGGCCCGGCACGACGGACCGCGAACTCACGCTCCAATCACAGCGAGCGCAGATCCCGTGCCAGATCGCCGTGCGGGCAGCCCGCCAGCTCGGACCGGCGCAGGGTCGCGCGTGGATCTGACAGCGAACTGGCGAACATCGGCAGCAAATCGCGAGCTGTATTCCGTACCCGTACGCCACAGCTGCCCCACACCGCCTGCAGTGCCCGCCCAATCACCACTCCGGACCAACGCAACCAATCACGGCCGAATGTTCGTCCTTGAGCCTGCCGCCGACCGAGTCCGACGCTGCAAACGAAGCCTGCCTCAAGTATTCATCCATGTATACTTGCCTTTGTCTGCCAGGGGGGAGCCCAGGCGGGAGGCGCGACTATACTTACGCTATACTTACGGGAAACACAGGACGCTACAAAGATGAACAGCACAACACGAGGATCCCGAGAGAACGAGCATGGCGGGAACCAATGTCACTTACAAACCCCCCACCACGGGACGCTGCATAGTCGAGAAAAAGAGATACCTAATACCGGGGACGTTTTGAATCTCTGTCATCATACCCACCAGGTCCTTCACGCTTGAGGTCGCCACGACCATAGCCGCCGCCTGGAGGACCGCCGTACCCTCCGCCTCCGCCCCCGAACCCACCACCGGGAGGACCTCCAAAGCCAGGCCCATCGCCCTGTCCACCATAGCCGTTTGGTGGTCCGTCGTGGAACCCACCTCCACTTTGATAACCGATGCCACCTCCTCTGCCCCTGATCAAGTCAAATGTAAATGATGCGGAACCAGACGCGAGCAAGAAAATGATGAGTGTACCTGAAGCCGCCCCTACCACCGAACCCTCCGCCGCCGCGGCCCCCTCCGCCAAACTCGTCTCGACCGCCGTCGAACCCTCCCCTGAATCCGCCGCCGCCGCGCCCGCCGAAACCACCTCTCCCCCCTCTGAACCCGCCGCCACGGTCGCCGAATCCTCTCCCACCACCGCGGTCGCCAAACCCTCCCCGACCGCCTCCGCGATCACCAAAGCCTCTCCCTCCACCGCCCAACCCACCTCTGAAACCACCGCCTCTTCCTGGCGGCGGACCGCTAATGAAGCCAGCAGGTTCGGGCTTGACGCGGCCCCCAAGGCCACCGCCTAGCCGTCGAGGTTTCCAACCACGCACCGTACGACCCCTCTCCACGTCCACCAGGATTTGCTTGCCCATGATCCGCAGTCCATCGGATTCCTTGTAGGCGGCTGTGAGAGAAATTTCGTGATAGTTAATACTGGGCATCACTCCCAACACGAACAGATACCAATCTCACCTTTCATATCTCGCTCGCGTTCGTAGACAATGAACGCGTATCCTCGACTTCGCCCTCTCTTGTCCCGAACAATCCTGACCCGCTCAATCGGACCGAAACTCTCAAACTCTCGTCTGAGATCACTCTCTGTCGCATTTTTGTGCTAAACCATGACAGTGTTAGTTTGATCCCGAGGCAACGGGTGAATCATCTCACCAGCCGAGCGATGAATAGCGTCTTGTAAGGGTCCCCGACCGCCTCAGGGTCATCAGCAGGCTTGTCTGAAAAAAGCAAGTTGTGAATCACAGGAAAGATACACCGGGTGAGATGAACTTACAGGCTGCAAGTGCCGCCTTGAACTCCTCCGTCTTCTTTTTCTTCCTCTCCTCCCGCCTGAGTTGTCTTTTTGTCTCCTCTGCTAGCGTAAACGCGGGCTCCTCACCCTCCTCCATGCCCTCCTCCCCCTCGCCCTGGTTCATTAGCTCCGTAGTCTTGTCCTCCTTCAGCTGTGCTAATATATGTCCCACGCCGGACACATTCTTGGGGCGGACGCGGTCGATGTCCCTGTCAACCGGTCGCGTATAAGGGAGCGGCGGGCGCGGCGCGAAGAGCTTGAGTAAGTTGGGCGGGAGAAGATGTGTTCCCGGCATGCTGGAAGAGTGAGACGGTGACTACCGTCGGGGACGTCGTGTAGAATGGGACGGCTGTGCGGCAGCAGCCTATGTGGCCGACGGAGAGCGAAGTCGTCAGGTGTGGATTTGCCAGGTGGAAGCCGGAGCCAAGCAGTGAAGCGCAGTTTGAAACTCCGCGTTGCGCATATCCGTATACTTGCAATTGGATGTTTCTCCTTGAGCAGACGTCTTGCGGCCTGAAGGTGTATACACTATGTTTCATTCTGTACAAATATCATTGCTGAATGCTGCAATATAGATGTCGAGGAGGCTGCCCCTCCGGCTCTACCAACTATGTCAGCTTCAACTACGGCAAAACCCACAGTTAGCAGCGGCCTCTGCTAGGAGACTGTCCACCTTGACCGGGACTAAAGCACCAGCGTTCACTTCATTCTTCTTTCGCAACGACCAATGGACAGCATTCCCCCCCGTCCCAGCTCGCTCACCGAGCATCAGTTTCCGTTCCCAGTCGATACCCGTGGCATCTGCTCTGTCCTATGCACCTCATACGGCCCCCCTCTCGCAATACAAGCCCACTGAGGCATTATCGATCCCTAAGACGCTGAGGTTATATGCTGAACTCTCCAAATCGAGGCTGAGCATCCTCGTCGTACTGACAGCAATGTCTGGCGTGGCCATGTCGCCGCTCCCGACCACTGTCCCTGTCCTTCTCTCCACCGCTCTCGGGACAGCACTCTGTGCAGCAGCTGCGAACACTCTCAATCAGATCCAAGAGGTACCGTTCGACGCCCAAATGAGTCGCACGAGAAATAGACCTCTGGTGCGGAGGGCGATCAGTCCCCTCCACGCCGCCGGGTTCGCCGTGGCTACCGGGATAGCAGGTCCAGCCATCCTGTGGACCATGGTGAACCCAACCACCGCGATACTAGGTGCTGCAAACATTGCTCTCTATGCGGGCGTGTATACATGGCTAAAGCGAAGAAGCATCGCCAACACCTGGGTCGGCTCCGTTGTCGGCGGCCTCCCGCCTCTCATGGGCTGGACGGCGTGTGGCGGTCAGTGGCTTCCCTCCTTCGACTCACCCATGACTCCATTTCTCCCCTCATTCCTGTCCCCCATCGACCCCGCCACCCTTGACATCGCACTAGTCGACAACCCGCTCTCCGCCCTCTCCCTCTTCATGCTCCTCTTCTGCTGGCAATTCCCCCACTTCAACCCCCTCTCGCACCTCATGCGCGACTCGTACGCCAAAGCGGGGTACCAGATGCTATGCGTCACCGACCCGCGTAGGAATGCCGCTGTTGCGCTCCGCTACACCCTTCTGCTTACTGGTGTCTGCTCTGTCCTTACGCCGCTCTCTGGCCTTACGACATGGGCATTCGCCCTTACCAGTCTTGTGCCTAACCTTATCTGCGTGCGCGCGGCATGGAATTTCTGGAGACACACTAGCGACAAGCAGGCGAGGGCGCTGTGGCATCATTGTCTCTGGTATTTACCTGCAATCCTGGGGTTGATGATGGTACACAAGCAGGGCATGAATTGGGGCGAGTGGTTGGGTTTTGTGAAGAAGGAAGATGCGGAACAGACCAAGGTCATTAGCTCGGAGTCTGCAGCGAATGTACAGTGAAGTATTAGTCGTCCGTGTCCTGTCCCTTGACCTTGAGTTTTTGAGCGGGCATAATTCTCGGATAGCAGACTCACCTAGATTATTTACACGTGAAGTAAGGAAATGCCCAGCCATTACTTTTCTGCGCCTGCTATCCGGTCTTTGCTTTAGCGGCTTTCGCGGCCTCCCTCCTCTTCTTGATTGCATCCAAACGCGCTTTCAACGCATTCACCTTCTCATCCGCCTCCTCTTGCGCCCTCTCCTCATCTAACAAGCGATCCATGATCAACTCCCTATCCTCAATCTCCTTTCGTTTCCGTATAGCCTCTTCGTCCAGCGCCTCCGTCACCACAGCCGCACCCGCGGGTTCCTGGCCAGCGAGCGGCGGGAAGCCCTCAGGGATATCGGACGCAGGCTCCGGTTCTGCCACAATCGTCGCATTCTCGAAGCGTTCCCGCAGGTCAGCCTGAGGGTCCGGAGCAGCCAGAACAGTCTTCTGGAACGCCTCCCACTCCAGGTCGATAGGATTCTGCGGCTGGGGCGGGGCGGCCGGCTGCTCATCCTCGTCCTCGTCGTGCCCGCCGAGAGCAGGTGCTTGTGACGGATCGGAGAAGAAATCAGCGGGGAAGCCGTTCTTGGACGGTTTGCTCTCCGTCGCCGGTGGGGAGCCCATCTCCTCGTCTCCGTCCTCGTTCACCCTCCTCTTCTTCGTCTCCGTACCATTTTCTTCGCCGTTCTCGTCATCCTCCGCCTTCCGCTTCCCTCGTGCTTTCTCTTCTTCTTCCCGCAGTCTCTGCTCTTCCTTCAACCTCTCTGCTTCCTTGAGCTTTGCGACATTCGTCCGGTGCGCCTTGCTCCCAATGTGGCCATCCCAAGCCGACGCGTATTTGACGATGCTACCACATGCAATGCACCTCAGTTGACCAGACGCGTTATATGATGCAAGTGGGTGGGAGACACGAGCCTCTTGTCTTTTCGCCTTCAGTAATGCTCGTGCACTCGACATGGAGGTGTGGCGGCTGTGGTAAGTGCTGCCATTACGTAATTGCAGTCGCCTCACGAACAAGGCCAATGCGGTGCCACTAGTAAACAAGGTACGTTCCAAGTTGTTGCAGTGACAGCAATAATTCCATAGCAAACATGTGTACACGTACTGACTTGCATCAAGAATATATCCATTAATGTGTTACTCAAGTATGAACTAGAAAGCTATTCAGATAGCACAAAAGAAATCTCAATCCCTCCCCAGTCGAAGGATCGACCACCTTAGTTTTTGTCAGCGAAGATCTTCTTGATAGCAGCGCTCGAGTACGACTTGGGACGCTCCAGGGCTAGCATGAACGTCTGTCAGACATGACCAATGCAGAGAAGGCGGGAATACGTACGAGCACCGAGAGCACGGTCCCAGATGAGCTGAGCAGCAACACCAAACGCACGCGAGATGCCGAAGAGGACAGTGTAGAACTGCATCTGGTTCAGACCATAGTAGGTCAAGAGCACACCGGAGTGAGCATCAACATTAGGCCAGGGGTTCTTGGCCTTGCCAGCCTGTGCACGTGAATGATAAGAGACCCGTAAAAGGACAACCTACGTTATTGGTCACGTACCTCCAACAAGACACCAGGGACGATGTTGTAGATCTGTCCAACAAGCTTGAACATCGGGTCGTCAGGGAGATGCTTCAGAGCAAACTCCCGCTGAGCCGTGTACCTCGGGTCGGTCTTCCTGAGGACGGCGTGGCCGTAACCAGGAACAACCTGGCCAGATTTGAGCGTGTCCCATACATATTGCTTGACGGCCTCATCACTGGCGTCCTTGCCAATCTTCTGTTGCATCTTGGTCAGCCAGACCAAGACTTCCTGGTTAGCAAGACCGTGAAGGGGGCCAGCAAGACCATTGAGGGCAGCGGCGAAGGAGAGGAAGGGGTCTGACAGTGCGGAGCCCACAAGCTTGCCGGTGTGAGCCGAGACGTTACCACCCTCGTGGTCACTGCATAATATTGAGCGCAAATGAACCCGTCATAAATGAGTTGACCTTACCTGTGGATGACGATGTACAGCCTCATCAGTTCGACGAAGGCGTGGTTGTCGCCGAAGCCAAGGAGGGTCGACAAGTTGTGAGCATAGTCCTTGCTAGGATCAATGGCAGGAAGCTTGCCCTGTCCGTAGACGTTCTGGTAAATACGGCCAGCAATCGTGGGCAGCTTGGCAATCCTATGAACATGAAACTCGTCAATAACAATATAATGGTAGGCGGGGCTTTGCATACAAGTCCATGCAGTCCTCGAAGACGGGTCCCCAGTACTCCTTTTTGGAGATACCATTGGCATACGCCTTAGCAAAGGCGGAGTCGTGGTTCAACTACGAAGCAGCCATTAGCGACACAGTTTCAACCAGCCCGAAGGCAAAGTACTCACGGCCGTGACAGCCAAACTGAATTGGCTCATCGGGTGAAGAGTGGGAGGGCATCTGTCGATGAGCTCCTCGACGAAGGACGGGATGGCCGCACGCGCCGCCCAGTCCTTGGAGAGCTCCTTGACCTGCTCGGCAGTGGGAACCTCTCCCGTAACGAGAAGCCAGAAGAGGGCTTCGGGGAGGGGTTCTGACCCACCGGGGGCCTTGGGGAGCTCCGCCTGGCACTCGGGGATGGTCTTACCGCGGAAGCGGATACCCTCCTCTGCAGCCAAGGATGCAAGGGTTAGACCAAATAGATGAAATGAGGCACGTGGCTAGAACGGACCTGGGTCGAGGACCGAGCCATCCCAGATCAGGGCCGGGAGGCCTCGCATACCTCTGCAATCGATCGCAGATATTTCGTCAGTCTAGACGCGAGGCGTATAGATATAAAAACCAACCCGTAGAGCTGATCCACAAGCACAGGCCCAAATGACTTCTTGCCATGTTCCGCACGGATTGCCTTGACCTGATCGACGATGGTTCGGCATAAATATAGCTGCGGGAAGATGGAAAGAACGACGACGTACGCTCTCAATTTCGGCAGGGATCAGCTGGGAAAGCCTCTCCTTGAGTGCAGAGTTCTTCGATGCGGTCGAGGAAAAGTGAGCCGAGGAAAACGCGGACCGCGTCACGCGCGACTGCAATGGAGACAAGAATAAGCCACGTCAGTATGGCCTTTATAACGAGAAACTCACCTGTTTGACGGCAGTACGGAACATAGTGGTGGTCGTGGTCGACGCCAGCGAAGACGAGGAGGGGTAGTTGGGCGACGGTGGAGGTCGAGGAGAAACTTTGTGGGAGAGCAAAGGCAGAACTCGGAACAGGTCGTCCATGACGTGCCCCCACCCACGTGACCCCGAGCGACCACTCCCAGCGCGGCCGTCCACACACTTTCTTTCATCCACCGGCATCCATGGCTAAACGAAAGAGACAACCCGACTCCGACCCCGTGAAATCCCTCCTGCCCCAGGTATGTTTTGTGCAGACTTCCGTATGTTTTTTCCCTGACTTTGCGCAGAAAAGGCACTACAGGCAGCGCGCGCACGCTAACCCCTTTTCCGATCACAACCTCGATTACCCCGCCTCGCCTGATGCCATCGACTGGAGCACCCACTATCCCGCCTTTGCTGGCACAGGGAAGACGCCGGAGTTTGCAGATGTGGGCTGCGGCTTTGGCGGTTTGCTTATTGCACTGGCCCCCTTATTCCCCGACACGCTCATGTTAGGTGAGTCCGAATCCGATCTAACACCTCTCTCGGGCGCCTCTTTGATGGCAAGGTCGTTTCACCCACTCTGTTGCCCGGCTCGGTTACTCATCCGGTTCTCTATGTTAGGCATGGAAATCCGCGTCCAGGTCTCGCAATACGTGCAAGATCGCATCGCAGCCTTGCGCGCGACTACCAAACCAGAGACACCCGACGCGGAGACATCGTCTCCAGGTCCCTACCAAAATGTCTCGATAGTCCGAGCCAACGCCATGAAGTTCTTCCCCAACTACTTCCGCAAGCACTCCCTATCGGCGATCTTCTTCCTCTTCCCTGATCCCCACTTCAAACAGCGCAAACACAAGGCTCGGATCATCTCGCCGACACTTCTTGCCGAATATGCCTATGCTCTCCGTCCAGGCGGCATCGTGTATACAATCACGGACGTACTAGATTTGCACGAGTGGATGAAGACCCACTTGGAGAACTTCCCGTTATTCGAGCCCGTGGACGAAGAGACTCTTCGATCGGAAGGGAAGGGCCCCATCCTCGATGCTGTGCGGCAGAGCACAGAAGAAGGTAAGAAAGTCGAACGGAACAACGGCGACAAGTGGTTGGCCTGCTTCCGGCGTATTGAAGTCAAAAGGGAATAAGGTCTATGGAGGCCAAAGATTGTGTATTACCTGTGCTGTAGCGATACATTTGAATCTCAATACACAAATGTGCCAATTCTTGTCCACATAACGAGCAACGTCTTCAGTAATCTTCCATTCTCTCCTCCATTACAACATCTCTGTCGCCTACATCAGGCCCACCACCACTCCCGACCCTAGGTGCAGCTCCCATAGCAGCTACTAACGACCTTGTCCTCTCCTTGACGGCCGCCCTCATCTCCTTGTGGATAACTTTCCCAGCTTCGCAGCCTACCCGGAAAATATCCTCAAATCGGTCTACGTGCAACCGCGTCTCCATCGTCACCAGCGTCACCTTCCCCGTCCTGGGCATCACCGCAACCGTAACATGCGGGACGTCGTTCTCTTCCAACGTTGTGAGGTCAAGCAGGGGTGATGTGGAGTGTACCCCGCCCGTGACCGCACAGACGAAGTCGAGCAGAGGTATACCGGCGGAGGCGAGGGCGAGGGTCGTGGCGTTTATACATGCTTGCAGGACGCCTCCATCTTGTTGGAGGATTTGCACGAATATGTCAATCTGCGAGCGGGGGTACAGAGCTGTCTGGATGACTGGTTCGAAGGTTGACTTGATCGTCGATGCGAACTCCAGTATACGCCTGTGCACGAACATTTAAGCAATCAGACCAATTCATACACGAATTTGGCACATGCAATGTCTCCATACCACGATAAAGAAACGGAAACTCACTTGTCACCACGACCTCTTCTTCTCCTCTCACCCGTGCTAAACGGCGCAACCGCGACCTCGACATTGATGTTCGCCCGGTCATGTATTGTCTGCGACCGCATCTTTGCTTCTCGTGGCCCAAACACCGAGACCAGTACCTGCGTCAGGCCATGCGATACCGACGCCGACCCATCTGCCGAGCCTTGCTGCCCAAGGTCAATATTGATATCTCGCAGTTCGTACTGACGGCGTCCGTCAGAGCGGAAACCGCCATCGTTCAGGATTTCTATCCGGGACGCCTGTCAGCGGCTGAGTTTCAGGTACAATGTCCAGGAAAACATAGACGGACCATTGCTTGGTTTGTAAATCAAAGCGAGCAAGATTGACAGGCAGAGGAGAATGAAGGAGAGCTCTCATTCAATCTCAGATCTCGGGTTTGCGACACCCACATGGACCCACAACACGGGTGTCGCCACCCACTGCAATACACAGATTCTACTACCATCTGCCTGACCATGATAATATTCGTTCACATCCGCGCAGAACAATAATTTCCGGGCGTCAGCCGGAAGTGCAAAGTGACTACACTATAAACGAAAGCATCACGACTTCCGTTTCTTGGACGTCAACCCCTTGGCTGACCGGTACCGCCTCCATCACAAGCGGTCCACTAACTCTGGCATCGCTTGTCTCATAGGTTTGCCCACCCCAAGTCAGGCCAGAGGTAGCATCAGCATAGCTGCCCAATTCCATTAGCTTTCCGACGAGAGACCAGAGCGGATATCCAAGCCTACCTGATATTCAGACGCTTGATCTGCATGCTAGTCGGTCCAGCTCCAAACTCGTGTCCAATGAAATTGATATCGACGTGTGTGGTGTTCCTCGCGGCCGTGGTCCCGCTCAAATAGGCTTGTGAATTGACGATGAGCGCCCTCCGCAGAACGCCCCACTCGTAGAAGGCGTATCCAGACGTCCACGGGTCATCGAACTGTAACTCAAGGACTTGCGCACTCCCTGAAGAGCCTATCGCCTCAGCTGCGATGATGGCCGAGTAATACTGGGGCTGAACATGCGGGGGGATAGGCGCAGCAAGCGACGATCCATCGATGATGGAGCGATTCAGTGCTACAGGTTGGATCTGGAGGGAATATCATGAACACAGTTATTGGAGGGAAGAAAACTCGACTTACCAGATTGTACTTGTAGCCGACTCCTTCGTGGAAGAAGAGGCGAGATATGCCAATTTGCGACGCATACAACGAATAGTCCAAGGTCCAGATTGCTGCTCCCGCAGTATTGCTGACGCCCGGCGCACCATGGCAGGCGTAACTATCAGGAATAAAACGTCAGCAAGGAAGGACGTGCCTATAACTTAAGACATGCGGACCTGTTGGTTTCACCGAAGACGTAGTCCAGTCCGTAGGACCTGACCACCGCGATATCTGGCGCAAACTCAGAGACATTGGTACGAATTGTCGATTTCGCCATCAGGTCCTGGAGCAAGCCACCGCTTCCCTGGCAGAATGATCCACTGTAGTGGTGCTGTGACACACTATGTCCTAGCAAGTCAGCCTTCCATTGCTGCGAGCCACAGGCGAATGATACACACGTGCGAATGAGAGACCCAGGGGCAGAGTTGAGGATCCCTGCGCCTATGATGGCTTGCGGAGAGAATCCAGAAGTACCGAATGCTGAATTGGCGAATGCGCCGCCGATCAGCTTGGGATACGTGCGACTGTACAGATCAAAAGAGTCGGAGATGTTGGTCGCAAATTCGATCCACCTAAGCTTCAGATTAGCCTCTATTCCCACATGATAGATAGCATCTGCGACTCACTCTCTCGTATATTCAATGGGATTCCAGCTGCTGTTCCTTGCACCGTTATTGCTGTATAGGTCTGCCTCATTGCCGATTTCGATGTACTCCAGTGTAGTGCCCTGGGCGACCACCGCGGGGTCGGCAAACGCAGCCAAGAGTGCCTGGCTCTCTAGATAGGCGGCAGTAATGTTGTATTGGCCGAGGTTAACGCCCCACCAGACATGAGTGAGAGCTGGCAGATGAGCTATAAGCTTGTAATAGTCGCAGCCAACTGTGATATTTGTAGCCTCGGGATAAGGTGTGGTGTTGGTGTACGCAGGAAAGATATCCTCGGCATACTGTGAATGGCCAGATATCAGTATTTTGGTTATTCCGACGCGCTAGAGAAGTCACTTGCTTGGATATCAGGGTTGTAATTGGTATGGTCTTCGGAGTCGGCACCGATACGGATCCATAGACCTTCACCAGCAAGCTGTCTGAGATTGTCTAAAGCATTGTAGAAGAACATGTTGGGAGCCGCGGTCCCTGCCCATTCTATCCAGTTATCCTGCTCGATGGACAGAGAAATCAAGGTCGGGGACACTGTTTTCGCTGCATAGGGTGCAAGGAGAGGGATGTATGCGCCCAAGTCCGCGCGCACCGTGCTCACCACGCAGAGGATCTGCAGAGCAGTCAAGAAGCGAGAGGCCATGGTCAGCATCCGGGGCGACGTCCTCAGCCGTTCCCTCGCTCCTTGTTATATACCCCACTGCTGCCGGGATCGACATGGAAGCAGATGCATGGCGTCTGTGAAACAATATCGCCCCCGTGATGAACACGTCTTTGAGTCGGGACGACGGGCGGAAGATGAGAACCGCTCTCGAGGTCACACTGCAAGGTTATTATCGGCATTAGCAAGCCTTTAGCTGAATTCCCCTCCTTGTATATTTAGAATTAGGGACTCGTGAGCAGCAGGCATTATACTTATTCGATGCGTGTGGGCAGCGTGTGGGGTCGTGATAGTCGCGAGCAGGAAGGTAGTTCGACCGTTCGACGACGCGTCCGTTTACTGTGCATGCGCGTCGACGTTCCATCACATCTCTGCATATGCGTACATGCATCTTAGAGACTAACCGCAGAACAGGAATCTCAACGTTCTCGACCATAGGCAGCCAAAAGCCCGCACTTTCGGCGACGATGTACCGCGCCGATCCCGCCATATATATAGTATGGTAGATGAAAGGCCATAACTAGAGCGACAGAACCACAAAGGCAGAACGCCACACCCTGACTCTTGCCTTGCACTCGCTGCGCAAGCCGTGGAGACAACCAAGTCGCACTGCGACGCAGGCATTCCTTGCAAGGTACGTTCCATTAGGTGCAATGGGATTCTGCGGGCCAGCCAGTGTATATAAGTCGCAACAGACGGTGGGGAGTATTGTACGAATGTCCGTGTGATGGCATGCGAAACACTGACAAAACCCATCTTCTCTATTGCCGCCATGCCTTTGACACTGCGAATCAGAGCCCTCTTTAATGGTGGTGGTCGGCGGCAGCGGCAGAAGCGTCGCCCTGGTGATCAAGAGCATAGACTAAAGTGCATTGTAAGACCAACAAAATAAGATACACCTGCGCCATGAATGACTGACCTGAGCCGCATTCTGCGCAACGGGCGATTCCGTCCTTTTTAACGGTGAACCAGAGGACATCATGCGAGTCAGCTGGTGAACCAGTGCATCCAACAATACGCTCGGTATCCTGTTCAAACAAACCACCCAGTAGACGGAACCGCAACAGAAGGAAATATGAGCATCCAACCAGCGAAACCACCATCCTTTTATCGCACCAGAGAGAAAACGCGGATCGGGTCCGCCAGGGTGCCAATACGGCTAGAGTCCAGAGGTTCCATGTCAAACGCCTCTACGCCCTCCATCTCCGCTAAAAGCTGGTAACGCTCGAGACCGGTTGCCTGAGCTTCATCCGTGGGCACTTCACCGGGCTTGATACCAGGGCCGTACAGTTCGGGAGTGGCAGCGTGGTCTGCTGAGAGACGACGCGCAGTGACGGACAAGCCGCGGAAAGGTGTCTTGGAGGCGCTGGCCACCTGCAGCGAGCGCGACGCCGGGCGCACCGAGCGGAGAGCTGTCCTGAACATGGTTTACGAAGGTGGACGATGGTTTGGGACGTTGCGTCGACGGAATCGATACGTTACAGTTGTCACGGCGGTGACCGATGTTTTCCGCATGGTCCCGACGACCTGAACCAGATTGCTCTGGAGCTATCAAGTCTCTCGTAGTATCACGACCCTCCGTTATATGTACATAGTGCAGGGTACCGTAAGACCAATATGACAAGTACAATGGTCTCTACCTGTTCGATGGGGGCACTGAGAGTGATATGTATGTAGCCGGCACCGCAGAAGGACATGGAGGCCTGGTAGCTGCGGAATCGCCTAACTCCAGCTGCGTATGCCTCCGAAGATACGTAGACTGCGGCATTCATTCCGCGGGTATATACTGTAATTGGGATGGGAGAGGGCTGCTATAAGCAATCCTTTCTCTCCTCGCACTTACGGCGCCCGAGTCCACCTTTGTATTGTCGATATGACTATACGAATCTCCGCAAATCGAGAGTCGACGCCATTATCATGGAAGCTCTCACTAGATTGGACAATAAGAAGGAGCGAGGGCCTGGGGGCTTATGGTTCAGGAACTGGATTGTGTGGTTTTATTTACGAAATGCAATCCTCCCAACAAAGCTGAGGACGCGCATTACGTAACGGGACCCCGCGCAGCGCGAAGCGTCACTCCGCAGGGCAGCGCGGGGTTGGCTCAGCGGGTTAGCCTATGCTTGGCCGTATATAGATAACAGTAGACACTGCAAGCAATATATAAAATTAAATATCGCCTCCTGATATGTTCCTGTAGTGTAGATGGTAAGCATCTTGCTGGGCTTGGAAAGCCCGAACCTCGAGGTTGCGGGTTCGACTCCCAATCCGTTTGTTTCGGGCATTGTTGTTTTTTCCGACGGTTTTTGTCAAGATGTATGCATCACTTGTGAATAAAACTCCTTACTCTTGGGGCTTCAATTTATTTCATCACTTAAGATACACTCCACACCATCCTGATATTATGCTGACAAGCCTGTACTCAGTAGAGCATATTCGCTGTGGTAATTACCACAGCGTGGGGCCAATGGGGTCGCTTAAATCCATCAAAATTCCCTTACTTGGGAGCTCCACCGGTAGTAATTACCACACCGAATATGCTCTAGTGCAGGAGAAAACCTTTGATATCAGTGTTTCAAGAGTCACAGCCGCCGCCTGCTGCAACCTCCCTTTTCATCCCAACGAGATTGTAACTCTCAGTACATATCACATAAAATACTTTGTATACCTCCCTACCTACTCTACGTAAGTATGTATATGCGTCGTTCTGGTGCCGAGACTTGACTTCAAATGGCCTGAGACCGTGGGAACACTGCGCAGACTTGCCGCACAGCCGTCTGTGCAGTCACTTCACGATGGCCTCGACCTTCCTTTTACGGGCCGCGCGTCCTCAACTTTGTTGGGAGGATTGCATTTAGTGTTTTATTTCAAGTCAGCCACCGAAGCGGAGGAGTGATGAGGAGTCTCAATACGACGTAGAAGAAGCAGTACGGGGGTCCCTGTGGACCTCCGCGTCGCTAGCGTAGATACCGGTGCAGCGCTCTTATATCTGGAGTACTTATTCGAAGTGTTGGGACGCTGTTAGGTTACCATCAGCTTGAGCAGGCATATTGTACGAACAATATATACCCGGTTTTGTATTTTCTGAGTAGTATGAGAATTCGAGTCACCCTTCGAGATGGACGTCGCTCGATCCGATCCATGATCCATTGTTTCGATCCTTTGCATTGTTTGCGTTAGAAAGTTAGGCGGTAACAGTGCAAGCCTGCAAGCAGCCATGGTGCCTCCGTCCAGACCTTTGATCCTTCATAGGTCCAGTGTTGGCATTGACGCGCGTCAGACCCCGAGTCAAGAGGTCTGACGCCATGCGACCCCCATTGACCTTGACCGGGGTCCGGAGTCAATGCGTGACTTGGTCAATCCGGCTACGTGAACTGCGGCCGGGGCCAGAAGTGTAGCTGAGCTATTGCTAGTCATCTATACGCTGTATGTAGACTACTCAGATTTGCGCCCGCTATTATGAGACCTACTAGTAAGAGGGAAGATAGGAATGTGCTATAGAGTAAGAAAAAAGGATTAAGGAATAAGGGTACATCTTGTCAAAGGTAGAGCATTGACAGAGTTCAATCCCGGGGTGAGCTCATAGAATCATGAAAAGCCATCTCTGTGGCGAGATTCTCTTCACCTCAAGGCCAGTACATAGTAAGAGCACTCAGTGAGGGAGATGTAGTCCCCGGTAATGGATACAGAAAGATATTCTTCAGGAGGTATGCAGTGAGGCCTCGTACCCGGAGTGATCCACTGGCGCAGCAGGACTAGCAGAGTCGGGCACTTGAGACTCTGACAGAGTGGTGGCTTCATCAGCAGCGAGTTGCTCCAGTAGTTCACTAGCAACTGCGGTGAACGAACAGGACGCATCGTCGATGCCGACCGAAATCTGATCGTCCACGCCCGATTGTGCAGCCTCTGCCGGAAGCGGCAAAGCTTCCGTGTACTTCCGTATACCGCAGTAGAAATGCTCCCAGACTTTCGGGGGTTGCATGCCGTCTAGAGGGTGGATGTGGTTGCGCAATACAAGTCAGATTGTGTCTACAGTATTTTTGGTTGTGCCAATATACAGTATATTATTGAAGTACAGACATCAGAGATTCAGTGCAACGCGCCACCACGCACGTGAGCTCAAAGTCACGCATTGACACCTTGACGATAGGTCCGACCGTGTCAGACCCCAATTGACTGGGGAGACGCAACGCCTGCCAACGGCGCGAGTCGCTTAGTAAGCAGATTGTGGCTGAAGACAGGCACAAGTGCGCCTTGACCCAACTCGCCGTGTAATGACATCGGAGAGTGATTAGAATTTCTTGTAGGATGATATAATGGTTTTTTGGGATACAGAGGATGTGTAATGGCATCTTTTCCCTTATACATAAGGATGTACATCATAGCTTTCCTATTCCCTCAATTCCCATGCTCAACCACCCATTGATTGTGCTTGCAATGCTCAACAGATTACCTTGTGAGATCCCATATACATCATGAAAGGTGTATAATTATTTTATTCAGCTGACTTGAGGCAGACTTAACCAATTAGCATGTATGACTCGGGATGGTACACTTCTTGTTATGGCTGTAGGCAGAGATATTATGCTTCAGTACACCCAAATATCTGCAAGGGAAGGGAACCATATCAAGAATGCTATATATGAAGTCTGAGAGAAGCTGTGCAGCGGAAAGGCGACCTCCAGTGTGACACCAGAACGCGGTTGTCACACACGTCACACAGCCAGACGCGCTGATTTCAGGCGCGTTGTGACTCAAATGCGCCACGCGCATGCAGCTTCCTAGAGTCATTTTTGGCTCTTGCGACATTAGTACCAAATGTTCTGAAGACATATCTGGATGTATCGGAAAACTCGGATTCTTCGAAAATGCATCGTATCTTCAAACACTAGTCAAACAGATATCTTTTTCACCCTATATGGAGGGAAAGAGGCAAAGTACCGGAAATCCAACATTTCCGATACATTTTAATCACCCTTCTGAGCATTTCTCTCAGCTATATCTTAGCCTGATTCTCGCAGTGTGAAGTGATCTACGTGTTCTCATTTCCGTGACACTCACTATTAGGGAACAAACAAAGCCAAATAACTCGCCGCGCGACCCAGGATTGCGTCTCCCCCAAATTGACCCATTGACACTCATCAATTCATCAAAGGGTCG